GGTGAGATGCAGCTCTGAAGATTAAAGGAGTATCGTGGAGTAAAAAGCAAAAAAGCCAAACGCAGAGAAATCTGTTTACCCTTTAAATCACTAATTTTATTGTTGCTGAGCCTTAAATTAAAATGCTTCTCTCAAAGGACAATCACACGGCTTTTCTGGGGTTTAACTTGCAGACTTTGTGTCTAAAGGTCACTCTGCAAACAGCGTAAATGCGACGGTAAAGTGCAGGGTGGACAGAGGGCCGAGACTCCCACCTGACGGAACTGGGGGCACAGGCAGCCTCTCCTCCCCCAGGGACCTTGGTCTCTGCACACGTTGGCATGAGAAGAATACACTTCTTCAGGTGTTTTGAAATGAACAGTATTAAAGAGCCCGATGTCTCCTTGGGGAACAAATGGCAAATACAGCATTCCTATGTCTCGTCCCACAGGGGAATCTTACACTGGGCCAGCAGGACAGACTTTTAGATGTGATACAGGACCTTCCACCCATCCACCTACCTGTTCATTCATCCAAGTCCCTTCTATCTACCTATCCACCCACTCATTCATCTGTTATCCATTCTCCCACCATTCATCCATCCATCTATCCATTTATCATCCATTCATCAACCCAACAACCTGCCCATCAACCATCCATCCACATACCCATCTATACATTATCCATTCATAATCTGTCATCCACCCACTCATCCATTCTTCTCCCTGCTTCCTCCTATCCACCCACCTATCCTTTTTTATTCATCCACCCATTCACCAAACATCCACTTATTCACTCACTTGTTCATCTAAATACCAACCCATTAACTCATCCATCTGCAAATATGTAAGTGACACTGTCTGCTGTGTATTGGGACTATCCAAGACACTGGTAGAAGTGAATAGGACTTCTCAGGCCCTGCTCCCGGGGGAGCTCCCAGCCAGCTGGGGGGACAGAGGAGGAACACGCACCCTTGTGTGTGACACCCGGGGAGAGTGGGCATTCAGGGAGCACCTACCAGGGGCCAGAACCCAGAAGTAGGGTTGGAGCAGGCTTCCAGACTGATGGCCCAGAGAAAGTGGAGTGGTGTTAGGATTCAGTGGTTGGAAAGTGGGGGACGAGAGTGAAAAGGAGATTGTTCTAGACAGGGAACAAGTGGGAAGCTCAGGAATTTGGAGATTAGGCTGGAGCCTGGGGTGTGGTCTCAGGCACCTGAGTTCCACTCAGGGTGGACTCGTGCTGTCTAATAGCCCCAGAAGGCTCACCTGTGTTAGTTCCCGAGGCTGCTATAAAAAAGCACCACAGCCTGGGTGCAGTGGGGGGCTTGAAAAAACCAGAAATTTATTTTATTTACCTTTAAAATTTTTACTATATTTATTCCATAGTTCTGGGGTCTGAGTCTGGAATCAAGCTGTTGGAAGGGTGGTTCCTTCAGCAGGGCCCTGGGACAGCCTATTCCATGCCTCTCTCCGAGCTCCTGGAGGTACCTGGTGGTCTTGGGCATTGCGGGCTGTAGCTGCCTCACTCCCATCGCTCCCTTGGTCATCACATGGCCTTCTCCCCCGAGTCTCTGCGTCTCTCTCCTCTTTCCATAAGGTCACAAGTCATATTGGATTAAGCCTTACCCACTCCAGTATGACCTCATCTTAACTAATTACATTCCAGTAAGTACATTTCCTGTATGGGAAGATCACTGCTCATCCACAGCTGCTAACATTTAAGAGATGACAACTCCTGTGCTAGTGTTTGAGGGGCAACAGGAACCCTACCACTATCCTCATCCTCTCATCTGCCCCCTGCTGCTCTGGTGTACCTCTGACACTGCCCCGATATATGGTGATGACACATTTCCAATGAGGTGCCGGGGTTAGGACTTCACTGTCTCTTGCTGGGGCACAGAAGTTAACCTCTAGTGCCCCCTGTAAGTCAGTGCCATCTGCTAGCAGGTCCTCCCTAACTGGCTGAAATGTACTCCTGCAGTTTCCTGTGATCCATTCACGAACTCTCACAAGTGTGTTGTGACAGACACATGTGTGCATGTGTGCATGTTCTGCTGGGCACATGGCTGGAGGTGGAATTGTGTTTGGGGATGTACTTGTCCTTGGGCTGGAACTCCTGAGACGCAGAGCCTGAAATGAGGGTTCCCCTGATTCAGTAGAGGGGGCCTCTCAGGAAAAAATGGGGTAAGGGGGAGAAAGCCTAAGAACGAGCATGCTTTCAGGAGTGGTCAAGGCCAGCCTGCCCCCAGGGGCACAGACCTACCTCAGCCCTGCAGCAGAGGCCACACCTGATGGCAAAAGACATCCCACATGCCAGACGAAGGGCTTGCAGTGTCTGCTGCTGTGGGTCAACCTCGCAGACACACAGCTTCCAAGGTCGCAGACGATTCGCTGTGGTGCCTGAAGTGTGCTAGAGCTCCCAGTGCCCGGCTTGCTCGTTGATGGGCATGTCTGGCCTCTCAGCCTGCCGGCGTGGTGGGCTGACGTGGAGTGGTACGTGGCGCGCCTTGCGTGTCCTAGATTGCTGATGAGGTGAAGCATCTTGTCATGGGGCTGTTGGCCATTTGGACCTGCCTCCTCTTATGTGCCTGTCCCTTTTCCTATTGGGTTGTCCCTCTTCTTCTATTGATTTGTAGGAATTCTCTACATATTGAGGGTATAAGCCCTTTGTCACTTACATTTGTGGCGCAGCTCTGGGCAGCATGTGGCTGTCTGTCTGGCTGCCTAGGAGGCATCCCAGCACAGAAGCTTGGGATCGGGACACTGAGGAAAATCCCACTGTAACCAGCGGCTGCTGAGACAACAGCTCTCAGCAGCTTTGGGTGGCTTGGCTCCTCGGAACTGCTCCCTGGGACTGTCCAGAGAGACACGAAACTCCCAGGCTGTGTCCAGCTCACCACAGGGATCTCTACTGATGGCAGTGGACCCAGTGTGAGAGTGTGTGTGCATACGCACGCTCATGTGGGATGTGAAGCATGCATGGTGTGTGTGCTTGTATGTATGTGCACATGCAGGTGTTCACATGTGTGGGTGTGGTATGTATATGATGTGTGCAGTGTGTGCGCGCGTGTGACATGTGCAGAATGTGTACATGTGTCTGTGTGGGAGGATATGCAAGAAAGTACAACTTGGCTCCACCCTGGCATGTGACACTTGGAATGCTCCATGTGGGGGCTATGGCCACAATCAGGCGTTTGTTTCATGAGCTCCTTCCAGGGACCTGCAGGTGCCCACACTGCACCTGGGCGAGGACACAGCTGGAACAGAACAAGCCAGGGTCCTGTGAGGCTGTGAATGGTTAGTCTAAGTGGATCACGCCAGCTCCCGAGGCACCTGGTAACATAATGGTGCTGAGGTCTGCTCGCTTTGCCTTGTTGGGGCAGGTTCTGTGTCCAGCCCAGGATCTGTTGTGATGGCTGACAGAGATGGAGACACCTGCAGAGCCAGGAGGGGACGGGCGAGTCACAGCCACAGGGCAGGCAGCACCCCAGGGAAGCAGCGGCAGGAAGCGCTGGACAGCGAGGCGTGGCTCACCAGCATGTGGCCGGATGGGTAGAGCCAACTGCGCAGACTCTGTGTGGGTCCTGTGGTCCCTGGGGAAGTGAGACTCAAAAGAAATGAGGATGTTCTTTGGAGACCTGGGGCAAGAATGATCATGCAGGGGTGGGGCCACGAAGGCCCTGATGTGAGTATGTCTGCTTGGGGCAGGGCTGGAGTGTCTGGCAGGAGTGACTAGTGTCCTGTGATGTGGGCCACAGCCTGATGGGACTGATTAGCTGCCTGACCACGTGGATCACAGAATTGGTGTTTATATCAAGTATAACGATAAACCACAGAGCTCTCCTCTAGGCTGTGGCCTGAGGTGACTGGTATCTAGAAGGGCCCCTTTGACCACAGAGTGGATGAAAGACCCTCAGGGACCAAGGACAGGGAGCCGCTTAAGACCTGGTGGCATGTCCTTGGGAGAGGCACTTGGCCTGGGCACAGGTGGTTGTCAGACAGCAGGGTTGGAGTCTGGCCACGTATGAGCCTGCAGGGGAGCTGATGGGGCAGAGGAGGGCTCCAGAGAGGCAGGCAGGACAGCGCCAGGTTGGCCTGAGCCAGCGGGCACCAGGGAACCTGCAGGCATGGGCCTTGGTGGGGTCCAGGTTAAGCCCAGCAGAACTTCAGGGCCCAGACTGTGTTCCCTCTGGGTTGGAGAGGTGCCGGGTGGAGAGCTCACGAGGGAGTGGGAGTGAGGCTGAGAGCCTGAGGCAGCTAGCCCGCAAAAACAACATGGTCGAGCAAACATGTGGCCACACGGCTGCGTCTTTCCCGCATACATTTTTTATTGTTGGTGGTGCTGAGTATGGACACAGACAGACATTGACGACACTGGTGTTCTACATGGAGGCCTTGATGCTCCCTGAAAGGAGGCAGACCTGATTCCTCTTGGCCACACTGCAGACAACCTCCAGCTGACAGGCCAGAGTCCTCCCCTCTCCCCCGCCCCTGGAGCAGCAAGGTCCACACCCCCGGGGGCCATGGTCCACTGCAGGGGATGCCGAGCAGGCTCTGCATGGCCAGCACACATAGTGGGACTTCTCCTCCGGTCACAGCCCTGTGCATTCTGATGACCATTAGCCGCTTTCCCTCCAGGCAGGCGCCAGGTGCCCGGAGAGCGGTCCTTGGCCAGGAGTCTTCACTTGGTTTTGCTAATATTCTGGTAAACAACGACTAGAATACCAGCAAACAGGTTTTCAGAAACCAATCCTGCATTCTGAGAATTAGCTTTGATTCACAGGTAAATAGGATTTTAGAAAGCCATTACCTAACTTAGAAAGTGTTGCTATTGGTGTGATGTGTGCCTGAGAGAAATACAGTTCTGGTGGGGTCTTGTTCCCAAGGTCACAGCCTGAGGCTGCGCTTGGCAGGGTCTCCAGGCTGCCTGCCTTCAGGGCGCTGCTCGGTCAGGCCCCCAGCCAGGGAGGCCCTCCTGCCCACTGGGAGCGCACTTTCTCCTGCGGCTGGGGGCCACAGCGCGGTGACCATGAGCTGACAGAGCCCACATCAGACAGGAGTGATGGCAGCCATGTGGATTCCACAGAGTTTGTTTTTCTCAGCTACAAGGAAATAAACAGTGTTCCTATCACATAAGGGTCCCTCATCCTCGGTGGCACTGAACAGACTGTGTGTAGCGTGGAGACAGAAGGCCCCCACTTTATCACATTTTGCACAGTTTCTTCCATTTCACCTTCTGCACAATTAGGCAAAATATGATATTTGGCTTTTTTAAATGAGCAAAATAAATGACTCAGGAAGCCGTTGTGAGCACTGGGCTCTTGCAGAGTGCACCTATAATTACTGCATTTCTTTTTGGCACGCAGATGAGCGAGACCTGTGCTCCGGGCCGCGGCTGAGGCTGGGGAGCCATGTCACATGAACAGAACACAATGTTTTCTACCTGCGGGAACGGGCACAGATCTACAAAGTTACACAGCGACACAGGAGGGATGGCAGGTCCTCTCCCCATGGCACGAGGGTGTAAACAGTCAGAAGATAAAGCTCCTGTTTGTTTCCAGTGAAGCAGAAGTTGAATAGTAGAGCAGCCCCCCTTTCTGTCCAAGCTCAGTTTTTTCCGTCTTGGTTTGCGTCTCACGCACAGAGGGATGGCCGCCCTGGGTCTTCTTTCTCCACTCCCCTCTACACCATGAGCCAGTGGCGCAGCTGTGAAGAAAACAGGGCTTATTTAGAAGTGAATCAAGAAGACGATGACTGACTGGTAGCTGTGAGAAGTCTCAGCAGAGAGCATGGTGAGGAGGCAGTCTGGGAAGCTCATGGGGGCTGGCCTTAACCTGGACCCCACCAAGGCCCATGCCTGCAGGTTCCTGGACCTGATGCTTATTTAACTTCATCTAAATGAGTCACCACTTGACAAAGAGAGATTGGGGAGTATGGCTGCAGCAATGGGCCAGCTCACAGACCAGTGGCCCTGGTGGCTCTGGACAGACAGCATGCTACCAGTTGCTGGCCAGACACCAGCAAAGCTGGGGCTGGTCTCAGATGACACCCTTGCCAGCATGCCTGTCACCTGCATTCCTCAGGCCTCCATGGCCATTATCCCGGTGCCTCTGGTCTGTGCCAGTGACAGGCTGCGCCCTGCAGTTCCATGTTGCTTTTGTGACCCCCAACAGGTGTGGGAGCTGGCCTCATTACCGCTCAGGATGGATGAGATCGACAGGACAGCTATTTAGTCTTCCTGCAAATGTCATCGCCTATTATGCAGCTGGGAGTTCAGCCTGTTTTTTAGCACAAGCCATTCGATCACACTAAATGGCAAGAACTTTGCTTTTTAAACATTTTCAAAACAAGATCATGCAGGGCTTCTTTCTGACCCAGCCACAATGGGGACAGGAAGACGCTCAATTTGCCACTGGTCCCACTGCAGGGCTCTTTCATCACCCACATGCAATGGGGGCTTCAGGGGGCTTGCAGCAACTGACAGGTGCTGCCAGCACTAGCAGAGCCTGGGTGCTCTGTGAAGGGAGCTGGTGGGCAAGGGAGGCCATGCCTGGGACCCCAGCTCCGAGCCCCAACCCTCTGTCCTGGCCATAGACAGCAGCAGGAGGTGTGCTTAGGGAGCATCTCAGAACTCTCACAGATAAGATCAAGCCATGAGCTCGTGAATAAGGAGACCAGGAACATGACTGCAGCCCACCCTGAAACCCACCAGAAACTTCAGACCCCATGGGCCAGAGAGGTTGCGACTACTAGATTACGGGACCCTATGTAAGACCCTATGTTTTAAAAGTGACACGTGCAACTTACAATGCCGCACATTTCACAAGAGACAGGTGGACCAAATGCATCTCCCAGGGATGAAGTGAAGTGTAACTGTTGTGAAGTGGGGTACAGTCAGGGAGCTGTGGTGACGAGGTTGTGGCAGGTTTACGCCATGAATGTCATGCAGCGGGCAGAGGGAGAGAGCCACAGCCGCATGCAAGGGTAGCTCTGGTCAAGATAGAGTAATGGGGACTGAATTTACTCTGCCATCTGAAGGCACCCAAAATGAATAAAGTATACATAATAATGGTTGTCAAGACAGGGCATCAGGTGACAAGGGACAATGGCACTAGAGAAACAAGCATGGGGGCTGTCAGACCGCCAGCTGGATGCCTCCAAGAAATCTCTAGGCTGCAGTGTTGGGGACGGGAGCCTGGTGCAGCCAGTGAACACTCTGGTGCTGGGGACACTCAGGCAGCTGGAGTTTGTAGGATGAGGTGCCCTAGAGGAGAGACCTACAGAGGGAGCCCTGGGTTCCCCCTGAGGGTTCAGCCGAGGACTCCGTGCACCTGAGGCCAAGGAAAGAGCCACCTGACAGCATTAGAGGGAACAGCCTCTGATCCACACCCAGGATGGGCGCCATGCGACTGAAGACTCCCAGGTTCGTGGGGCACTGGGAAGAGTATTCACGAAGGTCTCGCTTCAGTAGCGGGAGGTAGTTAGCCCTGAACTAAATGCTGCTCTGGTCCCATCTAACAAACCTTAAAAAGTAAGCCCCCAAAAGATCACACTCTCCCCAAGTAACTTGACAACATTCTAGAACAAAGCTCAAGAACATTTAAAGGGATGCAACCATACCCAGCACCTAACAAGGTAAAACACACAATATTTGGAATTGGATTAAAAACCCCCAGACATGCAAAGAAGCAGCAAACTTCACCCCTAACGAGCAGAAACAGACACAGATGTTCCAATCAGAAGATAAGGGCGTGAAAACCACGACTATGCCTGCCCTGTATGTGCCCGAAAAGTTAAGCAGAGACAGGAAAGCTGTGAAAAGGCCCAAACTGAACTTCTAGAGAAGAAAACTACAATGTGCGAGATAATAAATTGCTGAATTACCAGCAGATTGGATACTACAGAGAAAAAAATAGTGAACTAAGGTAAAAAGCAACGGAAAGCACATGAAATAAATCAGAGAAAAAATCAGAGTGGCCTCTACAGGTCATCGCGACCCTGGGAAGAGGCAGGGCAGAAAAGTGCTGAAGAAATGATAGCCCCAAATTTCCAGATTTGCTGTAGACTGTAGACGCAGAGTTCCAAGAGGCTGGAGGAACGGTGGTGTCAGAAGCAGGAAGAAAGGGAAGGTGTGCTGCATCTACCCATGTGGGAAAACAACCTCCAAAGATTCAATCGGTGTAGTGCCCTTTTTATAAAGTTCAAAACAACTGAAACCAGGCAAGAGGCAACGAAAATATATCATAGAAAGGACAAGGGAACGCAGGTTGAGCTTGACTTGGTGCTGACTGTAGGGACAGACGGGAGGGGAGCAGATAGGTGGGTGAAGGCAAGTTACTATCAATGTGACATTTTGCCGTGGGAGCTCACAGGGCTGATTTTGTTATGAAGATAAATAATTAAAAAGTAGCCATGTGTCTAATGATGAGAGTGCGTTGTACAACTGTGCGCCTGAGACACAAAATTTAAGAAAACATCTGAAAGTGTATGAGACCTGGGGGACCCAGGCGAGTCTCACACACCAGAGCTCCAAAGAGAAACAGAGAGACTATATATATATATATATATATATTCTCACCCAAGGACTTTTTTTCCCTTTTTTTGTTCAGATAGAGTGGGAGGGAGAGAGAGGAAGAGAGAGAGAGAGAAACATCGACGTGAAAGGGACACATCAAGTGGCTGCCACCCGCACGACCAACAGGGCCGGGGACAAACTGCAACCAAGGTACGTGCCCTTAGCGGGAACCGAACCCGGGTCTCTCTAGACCGCAGGCTGACGCTCTAACCGCTGAGCCAAACTGGCCAGGGCCAGAGAGACAATATTTAAGTCTGGCTGCGAAATTCCCAGAACTGACAAAAGACATGGACCCACACACGCTGGACACACAAGATATCCTGAGAGGGATAAATAAATAAAACTATTTATAATATTTTTATAATAATAAAAATAGAAAGAAGTCTATGCCCAGGCACACCACAGGGTAACTGCAACACACAAAGCAAAGGGAACAGGAAAAGGTCCATGGCTCACGGTGACCGTGCCCCACAGGATTGCAAGTTTCTCAGTGTGATGACAGAGGCAGCAGCGGGGAATTAACATCTCAAAATGCTGAAATACAGTAACTGTCAACCAAAAACTTTGTGCCCATGAAGACTCTTTCATGAATGAAGACAAAAGAAAGACATTTACAGACTTGCAAAAGTGTGGAAGTTTATCAGGAGACCTTAAAGCAGTGGTTCTCAACCTTCCTAATGCCGCGACCCTTTAATACAGTTCCTCATGTTATGGTGACCCCCAACCATAAAATTATTTTTGTTGCTACTTCATAACTGTAATTTTGCTACTGTTATGAATTGCCATCGGAAACATGCGTTTTCCGATGGTCTTGGACTACCCCTGTGAAAGGGTCACTCGACCCCGAAAGGGGAAGCGACCCACAGGTTGAGAACTGCTGCCTTAAAGAAATGTCTGAACGATGTTTTGTTTTTGTTTTTTGAAAAGCAAGAAAATGATCCTCAAAGGAAAGATGTATATGCCAAAAAGTATGATGAATAAATAAACATTAAACATGCACATTAATTCAAGGGTACATTTCTATACAAAGTAGCAGTAGTGATAACAACAATAATAATGTATAGTGGGTTAAAAAAGGGGCTATTGGGCACTAATAGCATATTAATCAGCAGAAAAAAGATTTAGATGATTGTAATATTCAGAATGGGTGTGGAGTTATTATTTAGCTTTATACTTGAGTTGAAATATGCATGGTACAAGTTCAAGTACTACTATTAAAGGAACAGAATAAAGTATATTAGTCCTAAACATACAGAAAGGAAAAAAGTAGAATAAGAAAAAACAACCCCCCTAAAATCAATCCATGAAAAGGTAATAAAACATTAAAAATGGGACAAATAGAGTGAAAAGATAGTAAAATCAAGACCATATATATGAATACTTACAACAAATGTAAATAGATTAATCTGCTTGATTGTTAGAATAAAAAATTCCAAGTATATGCAAGTTTAAAAAATAATACTTAAATTCTAAGATCACTGCAAAGTTGAAAGTTAAAAGCTTGCAGAAGATATTTCAGGAAAACTCAAAGGAAACTTAGTGCAGCTGTAAAATTACTTTAAGAGTAAAAGTATCACAAAGGAGAAAAGATGGGTCAGGCTTCCAGGAAGGTGTGAGAATTCTAAACATGTATCCACCCCAGAAAGCAGCTCAGAATGTATGGAGCAAAAAGTGGTACAACTGCAGGGGGAAATTGGACAAATATGCTATCAAGGTGGGATATTCTGTAAATATCTCTTCATTACTCATGATCAAGCAGAGTTAAATTAGCAACGTGGTAGAAGATTTGAATAACAGGATATATAAGCCTAATCTAATGGACAGAAGAAGAATTGTGTATCAATAATTAGAGATAGACATTCATTTTAAGTTACATGTAATGTTTGTAAATTGATTAAGTATTCAGCCATAAAGATGTCTCAATGCACTTCAAAGAATAAGTAGCACAGGTGTCTGAACACAAAGCAATTCATTTAGAAATTAATAGCAGAGATAAATAAACCATCCCCATATATTTGGGATTATAAAAGCAGACCTGAAGAAATCACAAAATATATTAAAATATGCTTAGAACTGAATGATGAGGAAAATACTGTTAAACATTGTGGAATGCAGCCAACAGAATATTTTGAGGAAAATTAATAGACTTGAAGGTTTCTATCAGAAAACAGAAAGGTTGAGAATTAGTGATACAAGCTCTAAATTAAAACGTTGAGAAAAGTATAACAGAGTAAACCCAAAGAAAAAGAATAAAGAAATAACAAAGACAGGAGCGGAAATTAATGATAAAAAGCAAAGCAAGAATAGCACCCTGCACCAAGTCATCTGCCCTTCAAACAGTGTAAGAGGAAGTTCTTTGTCTCAGTACACCTCTCCCCCACCTCTGCCTAAAATCATATCCCTTAGATGGTTTATGAGTCAACGTGGCATCCACGTCCTGGAAGGATTGGCTATCTAGCAGTCACAGCTATCATTAGCACCCTGACTTGGCCCTCACCTGGTCTGGGGCCTTCTCACAAGGTGATGGAAAAGGGAGTGTCTGCCACGTCACCTCCCACTGACCAGCTGCATGACTGTGGGGTGTTCCTTAGCCCCTCTGTACTTCAGGGGCCTATTTTTGGTAGAGAGAATGACAACTTACCTTATAGGGTGTGGGAGTTAAAATGTGTCTCACGTTTTACTCTGTCTCTCAACAATGTTAGGACCGTTTCTGAAGTTGCTCCATAGTATGTGGTAAACACATGTGGAAGCTCACGCATGCTCTGATGGCTCCCAGTTGTAAGGTGAGGAGAAAGAATAAATCCTACCACAGTCCCAGTGTGACTCCCATATGGAGCCTCCCCTTATCTCCCCCAGTCTCCCTGCAGCCCCACCTGACATAGCAGCCTAAGCGACCCTGTCCAATGTCATCAGATGGAGAGATCTGGGCTCCATCAGGTCGCAGCACCTGCAGATGACCAGCAAGGTGGCCTGGGTTCCTCCAGATTTTTCTCCTTCTCTCACTCATCCCCTAGTGAGGCAGGTGGGTCCTTTGCTGATCCTACAATATGCCCTGCCCGTCCCTCAGGGCCTTTTCCTGTGATGTGGTCCCACCCTTCACACAGATGTCTGCCCAGATGACACCTCCTTGATGGGCTCCAAGTCACATTCTGCCCCCTCTGCTTTCTCTTTTCCCCATGCTCCTGATACACTTCATCTGCTGCCCGCCCTCCTCAGGTCAGGGGTTCTCAGAAGGTTGTGTCAGGGAGCATTGCTGAATGAATAGACGAGCCTCCCAGTTTTCTGAGGGCTGTGGTTCAAGGATGAGGCTTGCTCTCCAGATCCGTCTGCATGCCGAGGAGACGGTGGGGCGAGCAGTACTCACCGTGAACTGACGCACCTCCCCGCTGTCCACCAGCTCGTGTTCCTTCTCAGGGGTGATGGCATAGGCCACTTTCTAGGAGAGATGGAGAGACCGTGGGCGCCGGCACATGCTCAGCAAGGTGACTCGGCTCCCTGGTCGGCACGTGGGTGGTCAGCTGTAGGAGCTGACGTCCAGGTCCCCTTAGACTCTGGAGCAGAGTCCACACAGGTTGAAGAGGCAGATGTTGGAGAAGTTTTGTCTCCACATCAGCTCTCGGTGGGCTCAGTGAAGGTAACAACACGCACTCCCGCTGGCCCAAATCGGGCCTCGGGGCACCTGAAGCTCACATGCCACACGGGAGGACAGGCACCTGCTTCCTGTCATATTCGGCTCCAGGGAGCTGGCCTTCCTTCCACCTCCTGCCCAAACGACCTATGCCCCAGGGGCCAGACGAAGAGCAGCTGCGCTCCTTGCTGGCCCTCCAGTGCCCATCTCTCAGCAGCTGTCATCTTTGACTGTGGCCAGGTTTCCGCTCCAGTCTCATAACCTTAGGGGACCTCCTTCAGCCTCACCCATCTTGGGTACTGAAATTTTATGTGCTTTATGTTCCGAGTTTGGCTGGTGGGAGGTGAAAGGCCCTGTGATGTAGCGGGTGACAGGGGGTAAGGGGTCCTGTACACATACGCACCTCCCGCAGGGACCCGGGCAAGCTGCAGAACTTGTAGGCAGCGTAGATGGGCACCATGGACATGGAGGACGCTGCGATGGCCCACCCCAGCACGTTGGCCCACTCAGGGAAGATGTAGTCTCCATAGTGCGGGGGCCTGAAGGTCACGATGCTGACCACGACCACAAACTGAAACCAAGGGCAGAGGTCATACAGCAGCACTTAGCCGGTGGGTGGGGGGTACACAGGAAAAAGTCAGGAACCCCTCTCATCTCAGGCTTCCCCTCCAAAGCAGAGGTGTAGCTGAATGCAGGACACACAGGGGCCTCTATCGGGGGAAATCACCTTGGATCCCACGTGAGGTTTCTCAGTGGGTCTAAGAGTGGGGTGGGGTACAACTTCAGAAGTCCATAGAGGATTTCAGGGCCCAGCCTGCCCTCCTGAAGCCTGCATGACCACAGACTCCACCTCAGGGACCCTGGTCTCCAGGCAGGGTGGAATACCCTTCCCCAGCCTCGAGCACATTCACTGGCTCAGGTGACAGCCTGCTTGCGGCCACCTCCTCTGACCCTGGGGTAGGCAGGAGAGCGGGGCAGAGCAGGGACATGCACGGCCTTCGGCCCTTACCAGGAGGAAGCAGGGGCTGACGAACTTCCAGCACAGCCGCCAGTACAGACTGGGCCGCTGCCCAATCATCTGCTTGATGTCATCGCTAAACTGCCGCACACCTGGGGGAGCCCAGAAGGGAGGTCAGGATGGCACCTTCCCTGAGACCCGGGTGAGCGCCTTGGTCCTTGCTGACCCCCGGGTCTGCCCCAGTGGACCCCAAGCTCAGTCTGCCTCTTGTAGGGAACAGCCTCACTCCAGACTTCCCAGCTGTGTGGCTGACCAGTGGGTCCCCACACATGTCCTCCATGGTGACACTGGGTGGCATTTGCTCCTCTATCCTGATGGTCACTCAGGGAGACCTGTGGAGTACTAGCCACTCTGCCTGACCCCTCTTACCCTCTGCTTCAGGTCCTGCTCCCCACGTCCCACAGCTGTCTGCACCTCCCCTCTGCAATCATTATTTGTCTTTTTACATAAGAAATTGTGGCAAGATATATATAACACAACATTTATCATCTTAACCATGTTTAAAGGAACAGTTCTGTGGCATTAAGTACATCGCTTTGTTGTGTAGCATCACCCTCATCGATCTCTAGAATGTTTCCATCTACCCAAAGTGAGACTCTGAACTTATTAAAGTTCCCCCAGCTCCGGGAACTACCCTTCTATTTCCTGTCTCTATGAATTTGACAACTCTAGACATCTCCGTAAACTCACACAGGATGTTCCCTCTGGGGATTGGTTTATCTCACTTAGCATAATGTCCTCAAGGTTCATCCACGTTGTCGTGTGGGTCAGGATTTCCCTTTTTAAAGGGATGAATAGTATTCCACTGTATGCATATAATCATCATTTTTTAAGGAAAGCTATTTCTAGATAACCAGAATTTTCTCTAGGAGATCGTGGAAGTGATTTCTCCTGCCCTGAATTTGCCCTGGGCTCTGGTCATATGATCATGGCTGCTTTGCTGAGTTTGGTGGGTAAGTCTCATAGGTGTCACCTGTGCGGACATATCAGGGAGGCCCCTCCATTCAGAATTTCCTTTCACACTCCAACCCCATCATCAAAATCCCAGACACAGAAATGGACCTGGGGGCAAAGGAGAATGGAGAAGGACAAGCACAAAGGCCAGCAAAAAGGAAGTGTCCACCTGAGGCCCTCGGCCCCTCTGGACTCAGCCCTATGAGCAGCTGCAGGGTGGCCCTTGCCTGGTGTTGGGCCATCAGCTCTAAGACCCACAGAGACCCTCGGTGCACTGAAAGGTTGGTGCATTCCAAGGTAGTCTTACGGAAATGCAGACTTTGTTTCATTTAGATTAGAGGGATGTGAATTGCTGTTTGGAGAAATAATGCAGATCTGTCATCTGAGGCTTTGGGGAGCACGTTTGAGGAGCACGTTTGGGGAGCACGTTTGAGGAGCGCACGATCACTGTCCAGACAGCTTCCCTGCAGCCTCCACCAGCACTGAGTTCACAGCTGTGGGGCAGGTTTGAAGCTTCTCTCTCCTTCTGTAAGCAGTTTTGGGGGTGAAGGGGAGATAACAATGTAAAATGATAGACAAGGTATTGTTTCAAGGTGCCAATGAAAGTGCAGAGTTCAATATTTCCCTTTTCTGTAGAAAAATATCATAGAAAAAAATGTTATCAAGATGCAAACTCTGTCAGTTAAGCCTCTCAAAGGCAGGGCATATTAATAGGGTGTAGTTTCCATGGCTCTGAGAGAGAGAATATGACCCCCTAGGGGACACGAGGGAGCACACGAAGTGGGGTTTGTGCAACACCAGGCCTTTGGCTTCAGCACACACGTGTATGGAGCAATGTGGCTGTTTCCAGAGCTTCCATTGGCAACTCCCTCAAAGATGCCTGGCCAGGGAACTGAGTTGGCACCATGACCCATTTTAAAGACGAGAAAACAGAGAGAAGAGAGGTGGGTGGCTTGCCCAGGCCAGCGCTCAGGAAGGGGTAAAGACTCCTCCAGGTTTTTCTGATCGGTCACCACCCTAGGAGGGGTAGAAGGCCTCATCTGGGGGCCATCTGCCAACCAGCAGGCCCCCAGCCTCATGAGGCTCATAGTTCTAACTTCAGAAGAAGTGGCTGGACTTGGGTGGGTCTGAAGTCAGGTCAGCAGTGACATTCTTGAGGGGAGTTCTGCACCTGGAGAAGCCCGATGTGTGAGCAGGGGCACTTTGAAACATGCAAATTGAGGAAGGACATTTGTTAATCACATTCCCTGAGGAGGAAGAGGCTCGGCTTGTTTCTCTGGTGTGGTGGGGACCAGTCATCTCCTGGTCAGCTGGACACGGACATCACCTCCACCATGTTAGTGTCCCGGTGTCCCAGGAAACATTCTTTCATTAGAACCAATCAGGATGTTTCTGCAGCATAACTGAGTGGTTAACTGAATGCCTCTGACTACAGTAAGGATTTGGGGTACCTTCCAGACTGTCTTCATTGATCCAATGGGGTGACGGTTGCCAAGCCTCTGATCTCTGTGAGGCTGTGGTCACCAGAGCTTAAATTAGCTGCCCAGAGTTAGATTCATCCCTTTTCAAGCCAGCTTGACCAGAGAGGGAGCAGCACGGCCACGGGGCCACAGCGCAGGCCTCCTGTCCGCTGAAGCACACCAGTCCCCGGAACAGGCTCCGTCCTTACCGTAGAACCAGGCCACCCCAATGGCCTCGATGAGCACCCCGAAGAGGATGGATGTGCCGGCTGCAAAGTGGTCCAGCAGTGTAAAGACATAGATGCCACCCTGGAAGAGAGGGGAGCACCCGCTGAACTCTGGTGTCCCAGTGTGGCACGCGTGGCCTATGAAAGTGTCACCCATGAAAGTGCTTCCCCCAAACATAATCCTGGCCTGTGGGTTCAGTTTACAGACAGATTTGGTTTTACTCCCTATGAAGTCTGATTTGAGTCACTAAAATTCAATCCACATGCAAATTCTTAGGAACAGGTCTATTACCAAAAAAATAAAAATAAGATAAATAAAGATGACCTCTCTTCTCCTTTCTCAGGGCTGCTGGTACAACTAGAAATGAAAGCAATCAAATGCCAAGAACCTCTACTGGGAGAGGAGATGACCTGGGAGCCCCACACCCCATGGATTGGCCTCCCTCCAGCCCCACAAATCCAACAGGCAGGTGCCTGAGCCAAAGGCGCCTCCCAGGGAGCTGTCCAGGTGCTGAAGTAACTCTAGACCAAGTTCCCTTGTGCCATGGCTACTCCATGTGACCACAACTACCCTGAGTGTGACCACAGCTACTCTGAGTGACCATGGCTATCCGAGTATGATTACAAGTCAAGGGTTGTTTTCTCGGGGGAGCAGCTCTTAGAAAAACTGTGGCTCTGTCTAGCCTGACAGCACCAGCCTTGCCGCCCTGTGCTGAATGCTAATGAGGCATTGTTAGGTGAAGCTGAGCCAGTACGTACATTGGTGACGCAGAAGAGGGAGAGGAGGAAGGTGACCAGGACGATGGAGAGGGTGAAGAGCTCCCGGTGCCTGTGCAGCAGCTGGAACTCATCAATGAGCCCGGTGATCACTGATTCCATCCCGCCCATCTGCAGCCAACACAGAGTAGGGGATGCACTGGGGGGCACTCAGTACCATGACCAGGTGTGATTCACACACAATTCAGTGGATGTTTACCCAGAAAATGGACATGGAGTGGGAACTGCATGGTGTCCAAGGTGCAGAATGCCCTAAAGACAAGACAGCCCTTGTGAGGGCTTCTCTGGTGACATGGTCATTGGAGAGAGAGGACTGGGGGTGGACACTCTGTCCTCTAGTGGTGACTTTCTCAGCCACTATGAAGTCCTGAGAAGGGCATGGGGGAAGTGCTACATGACTAACATATGAAACCTTCCTGACTCCGAGCGTCATGATTCAGTGTTGCTCACATGGCCCTGACTGCTTGGCTATTCCATGTGACCACAGCCCCCAGGAGGGATGGCTGCATTTGCAGAATAGGGCAGCCAAAGTCTCCAGCCACAACCCAGGCCTGGCCCACTGGGGGGGGGTGCCTCCTTGCCCCACTCTGTTGGGACCACCTCTCTCAGGAAGCACTGTCACAGATGGATCCCCACCAGACATGCCATACAAGGGTGTGGTGTCCCCCAAGGGCTGGTGATTGGACTGGTAGGAGAGGAGGTGGAGAGCAACAGAGCATAACCAGCATTCTCACGGGGAGGGACTCTGCACTTTCCCGGAAGCTCAGGTCAACAAGGCCAGTCATGAGAGACTTGAGGGCTCAGCTGTTGGTCATGAGCAGACACCGAGGAAGGAGGCTGAGGAAGTCCAGGAGGCCCAGGGTTGAATGAGGGCCCATCATCTGCTCCCCTCTCACACACATACCCCCACCCAAGCACACACACGCGCGCGCGCACACACACACACACACACACACACACACACGAAGGGCCGCACATAAGACACTCAGTGGGCCAGGCCTGGGTTGTGGCTGGAGACTTTGGCTGCCCTATTCTGCAAATGCAGCCATCCCTCCTGGGGGCTGGGGGTCAGGGAAAGTGATGAGTCATGAAGAACGTGCCTTGACTGTGTGTGGTCACATCACCCTGTTTTCCTGTGCAGCCCTCTTGCTTCGTGTATATTTAGGGTCCAGGGTGGCTCAGGAAGAGCGCATAGCTGATGCCCCCAAATGAGAAAAGAAGGGGTGAGTTGGTCTGAACACCCCATACCTGGAAGGGTCTCAAGTAATCATGGAATCCCTCCCTGATACCCACGTGAGACTCCGTGAACACAGAAACTTTAGGGGACCCCCAGGGAGCATCTATGGCTGCAGATGAGCCTGGCTGTCATGGCTGGGGCCCCAGGCATGGGAACTGCTGGTGTCACTCACAGCGCTGTCGATCCCCAGGGTGAGCAGCATGATGAAGAAAACCACAGCCCAGGCCGAGGACAGCGGGAGCGTGGCGAGCGCCTCGGGATAGATGATGAAAATTAGCCCTGGCCCTGAAAGCAGAACCTCTGGTTGCCACCGAGTGTCACTTCACATTCACACCCTCTTCCCCACCCCAAGAGGTCAATGCCTCCAGATTTAGCAGCACAAAATCTTTCCCATCTCTGCCTCTGCTGTCCTCCCTCCTGTGAATTTCTCAGACACCTGGCTCTGGACTCTAGAGAATGGAAACCCAGAACCAATGGGAGACGGATTCACTTGCCCCATCCCCAGGGACTGCAGCCTTGCTCCAAATCACTCCTGTCCCTGGCTGCGAGGGTTCTGGGAAGGAGAGGGAGGAGCTTCAGGGTCCTGCCTGTGTCCTTGAGCATGAGGTGACCCTCTGGGTTTGTTCTTCCTGAGTAGGTCACAGACACACACATGCACATACTCACTCACTTGCACTCACTATGGTTCATGAGCAATATGTTGTAAATATTTTCTGTGCCCTGAAGTATTCTACATGTGCCCTTTAGCACCACAAACTGAGTGCACAGACCACATTCACAAATGCTGCCTGGTGTGTTGCTGGGAACCGGAGTGCTCCTGTGCACACACTGGCTCCTGGCAGCCCCTCTTCCAACATTCTGGAGCTGGTATTGCTGGGTCAGGACAGGTGCCAAGGGCAACCACACTGCTTCCTCATCCGCAGCAGGTGAGATCTGGGTGGAGGTGAAGACTGTGGGCTTGGACAGAGAGGGGGATGGGAACAGCAGGACTCAGCTAAGATGAGAAGCAGTTTGGCCTTGAATGATCCCAAAGTAAAAATGATTCCCATAGGAAGTTGGTAACTGACCATTTTCATGGATGACTTTAGACATGCATACACTTAGCTGACTAGCACTGCCCGCTGAACCTCTGCTTATGGAGGTAACTTATAGCTTTTCTGATTCCCCCAGTCCTCAGCAGACCTGTTGGCACCAGCCAGGAATAGGGCACTTATCATCTTTCTAGAGGATGGAATGAAGGCCAGAGACGGGCCAACCTCCCAGAAGCTCTATGGGCCCTGGGTTTGGGCTGGGCTCTCTGATTACCAAAATGCAATGCCAGGGGTTGGTTCTTTGAGATGCTCTAAAGTCTAAATGTCATAAAATCAGAACCCAGAAAGATATTCATCAGCTCAGTTGAACTAATGTCAACACCCTTACCTTTCATTTCTGTACCTGAGTTAACATTTCACCCTGTTTTCTTGAGAATTAGAGCCATAAATGACATTTACTTTGCTTGTCATGCAAATGCATAGAAGACATTCAGCTTTAGTTTCAAGGGTTAATAGAGGTTTTTGCAAGTTATTCCTATTTATCATAATAAAGGGCAAAAAGAACGTCGAAGATGCATAAATGCAAGTGAGTAAATTTCACTGCTCTGTACTTATTTGCGTTATGCTCCCATTCTCCCACCTTTATTAATTTTTTTTTCCTGGAGAAAAGAATATGGACTTCAAAACATGCAAAGGTCTCATCCCAGCCCCCTGCTGTGTCTGCAATTTCACAGGGGTCTTTTGATCTGGGAGTCTGTTTCCTACTTTCAAAGTAGGGTCTTAATGTTCAACTCTCTAGGACTTAGATGGGATAATGAGGCTGCTGGTCTGGGAGCTCAGGGCAGGGGGTGGGGTTTGGGGGTGGGGGGTGGTCCTCTGCTCCCTCCTCTCCTCCCCGAGTGATCACCTCCAGACCCAGGAAGATCAGTCCTTGGCACTCACAGGGCTTTTCTGAGTCTAAGGAGCAGACCCAGCAGAAGAAGGGACTTCCCAGCCACCAGGAGAAGGGAAGGAAGGCCTCAGGGCAGGTGCCTCTGAGCCAGAGGACAGTCTCCAGGGGGAGACCCCTCACCACCCAAAAGCAGAACGGTCGCGAAGGGGGACAGGGGCAGCCATCTCAAGAGACCTGGAGCCGGCACTGACCCCTTTCAAGGCTGCCTAGGCCACAGTTTCCATCAGGAACTAGAACCAAGCTGAATTCCAAGTGCCCTGGGGGTGCAGCAACCAGAGTCACCCCTCAGCACCTGTGCCCAGCCTCCCAGCTTCTCCTGATTGGCACATTTCCTGCTGGGGCCTAGCCTGCTCCTGTGTCATCTGTACCCACGCCCTCCACCCCGCCAACTCCCAGTGGGCAGACACTGTGTGCTGGAGAGTCCAGGGATTTCTCTGAATACTATCCAAATCCCATCTAAACACATCATGGTCCCTGGGTGCTCGGAGGGAGAAGCTTTGGGACAGATTAGCTGCTCATGTCTAAAACAACCCAGCTTCTTTTTGGCTGGTCACATGGATGTCCAAAGGCTTGTTGCTTGGAATAGGTCAGTGCTCCCCCCCACCCCCCTCCTCTCAAGGTGTAAACAAAGGCCGGGGGAGCCAGGGTGATGAGGGACCCAGACCCTCATCCTGCAGCCCAAGTGGCCTCTGTGAGGAGCATGTGATCAAGCACTGGTCACACTGTCCCGCACAGGGGGTGGGAGTGGGAGGGTGTGGGGACAGGGGCTGTCCTGCTTCCAGTTATTTGTCCTGCAATCGGTCCAGCACATGAACACTTGCAATTGTTCAGGTCAGCAACTCTTATGGTACCAAGGGCTGTGTGTCTCCCCCTCATTTTCTAGGAAAACACCTTTTGAGAACTAGCCTGGAGCAGGTGGAGGTATGGGGGCCCCGGCCTGCCCTTGGGGGACTCACCATCCTTGGCCACGTCCCCGATGGGCACACTGTGCTTCTGGGCCATGTACCCCAGGAAGGAGAAGACCACGAATCCGGAGGAGAAGCTCGTCAGGGAGTTGACTGAGGTGGTGATGATGGCATCTCTGTGAGAACAAGACACCCCATCCTAGCGCTGGATCAGCTGCAATTTCAGTCATTATTCTCAATTTACTTCGTGCGTTTCCCTATGAGCAGGGCCAGTCCTTCTCGCAGCTGCAGAGCCTGTGCCCCAGCTGCCCTGCCTGTGGGACGGGGCCTCCCACCGGGACCGCCCAGCTGCAGGCTCTCGGCATGTCCTTATGGTGACCAGCTGCTCTGTCTGCCTGGGACAGAGAGGCTCCTGGGACACATGGCTCAGTGCCGAAGGCAGGAGAGTTCCAACCAGCAATGCTGGGGCTCTGGGTGGACAGAACAGATGGACATGGGGGTCCCCACCCATGATGAGGCTGTCAGGCAGGGGAACTTGTTCAAATGCAGGTTCTCACAGGGTGGGTTTGGTGGGCCCCAGATGATGTGTTTTCCTGCTGCTCCTGGGTGGGGGGGCTGGTGCTGCTGGTCTGGAGACCCCACTCTGAGGGCTACAGGAGAGCAGGGGAGGATGTGTGTGGGGTCAGCCCTCCTGGGAGCCGAGTGGAAGGACATGGCAGAGTGCCCAGGCCAGGGGGCACACGTGGGCTCAGGCAGGTTGTGCCGGAAACAGCCACGCAGAGTTCATCCTCTGTGAGACCCTGGCGGCAGTCTGTCTGGTTATTCTGCTGTGCACACTGTCTCTGTATTTTTACCACATTTTAACCTCAGGATATGAAAGAATATAAACATGAGTTTGTCAAGATGAAAGAAAGCAGGTCCCAGGTGAATTGTGTTTCTGTTTTAAGAAGGAATTTGGGTCCAACATGTGGCTGTAGGTAAGTCAGGTCATTCTGGGCCAGGTGGCATGGCCAAGGTGCCATCAGGCTGTGGTACATGGTGCTGACATTTTCCTTCCTGTCCTAATGCTGGGCCACCTGGGTGACTCTGCACAGGGTCCGGGACACCCTCCAGGACCTAGCTCCCAGGTGCAGGCCAGGGGGACATGTTCACGTGCTTCGCTGAGGGGAAGTCTGGAGGAGAAGCCTGACCCTGGGCTTTGGGAGGAGGAGGGAGGCAGGGGTGGGGAGGGCGCAGAGCTGGGGCCTCAGGAATCTGCTGCTCCCGGATCTAGGAGGCTTCCTTGCAGGGAGGTGATACACGTCTTCCCGTGTTTCAACACCTTCCTTAAAGCCAGAATCAACATTTTGTCTGTAGCTTCCTCATTTCAATTTCCACTTAAAAATCCATTTGGTTCAGAGCTTTGGCACACAGTTCATTTCCCCCTTCCTTTCCCCAACCAGGGACGTATTGCGATGCCCCCACGTCTGTGTCAGCAATGCCCCTTGATTTTGCAGACCATCTCATGGGAGGGGATGGGAGGGGAGCTCAGGACCTACCTGTAGCAGTTGTTGGTGAATTTATTGTAACTGGAGAAGGCGATTAGCACCCCAAACCCAATGCCCAGGGAGAAGCATATCTGGGTGGCAGCATCAATCCAAACCTGCAGCAGAGGGGAGATGAGCTGCCATTAGAGATAAATGTGGGAAGCAAGGGCCAGCTGTCGGGCAACTGTGCGGAGACCGAGGCCTCAGCTCCCTGTGCTCCCTGCCGGTGTCTGCAGCTGAGATGCCCCCAGCTCCATGGAACAGGGTGGAATTTAAACTCAACATCATCATCAACAAGCAGCTGGCACCAACAGCACGGTCAGAGTAAAGGCGTCTCAGGGAAGAAACCTCCCGGTGTCACAGGCCCGAAGGAGGGTGAGGAGAAGGGGCCGCGTCTTTGTGCATTCTTTGCGATTTCCCTGGACTATCGGTACTGATTCTCCACGTGACCACAGTTGATTCATTGTGAATTAATGCTGGCGTCTGCTTTGCTTCCTCCTGAGAGCTGCCTGGAGCTGTGGTCTGGGGCCTCTGCTGCATTTCCTCACTCGGCCGCTGTCCAGCTCCCTCTTCCTTCGCGCGTGGAACACGTGTCTGCTCTGTGCCCTCACCTCCCGTCTTCATGTGGGTTCCCAGCTGGTGCCACACCGCTGTCCTCACCTTGTGGGCTGGAAGGTGTCATGTGTGAGGAGACTTCCTCCCATGGCTCCTGCAGGTACTTCCCCTACTGGGGCTCCTGGGAGCCACGCCCTCCCCTCCCTCCTTGCTCCCTCATTCTTTCCCATTTCTGCCTCAGGACTGCTCCCTCCTGAGTCCCTGGTGAGCCCCACAGGTGCCTCTCATTGCAACCTAGCAGCACAAGGCAGCCACCTTCCAAAAGGCCCTCTGCCCCCAGCCTGGGCCTTCCCCTTCTGGGCGCCTGCTCCTTCCACACCTAGCTGGACTCCCTGGGGTAGCTGTTGGAGCGCCACCATCTGCCCCGATCTCGTCCACCTGAATTTGCACCCACTTCCTTTCGAAAGCTGCCATCCCACTAGCCCTGCACCCACCTGTCAGTGTCACTGCCGTTTCTGAGCCATGTCCCTGCAATACCAACCCCTTCTCTCTGTCTCGGGAGACCCCTGTCCCATGGCCTGCCAAGTCTCTTTTCAGAAGGTTTTCTCCAAGTACTTCTTCCTTAGCTGAAGAAACTTGCAGCCTGACTCTGGACTTAGTTTTTGATGTGATGCAACTTAAATTGTGCTCTTGTGCTGTGGGCGCCTGGAGTGTTTCACCATTAAGGTCTGGCTTCCTGAGGATGGAGCCCTGGTTCCTGCATTGCTGACAGGTCTCGGCCTTGCTGGGCCAATGACCAGGGCGCTGGCGCTCAGGGCTGCGTTCCAGGTGGGTAGCAAAGCTCTGGCATAGATGGGCAGCCCATGGTGCTTATCCGGGAAATCCAGGAGCGTTCCTCCAGAGCACGGGATGGGACTTGGGGAAGAACTGAATAGGCAGCAGACTTCATTCTATTCCTTCAGAGACCCAGCAGGTGACCTTCTCCCCTAATTGCCTTCTTCTGGTCCATTCAGCTCCCCACTTCTGATCCATTCACATCCCCTTCGGAACAGGACAGTGAACTCTACCAGTGGGGTCAGGTGTGCACATTGTCCCGCAGAACCTCGCAAATAGCAGGGCAACCAGCACCTGCTGGATTTATTTTTTTATTATTATTTTTTTTTATTTTCACCAGAGGACATTTATCCATTTTTTGTTCAGACAGAGTGGGAGGGAGAGAGAGGAAGAGAGAGAGAGAGAGACATCAACATGAAAGGGACACATCGAGTGGCTGCCTCCCGCACGACCCAACCAGGGCCGGGGACAAATTGCAACCGAGGTACATGCCCTTAGCGGGAACCAAACCCGGGTCTCTCTGGACCGCAGGCCGATGCTCTAACCCCTGAGCCAAACCAGCTAGGGCACACCTGCTGGATTTAGAGGGTGAGTGAGAAATTCCAGCCAAGCTGCTACCTGTGGGATCTCCTGCCGTAAAACACAGCCCCTCCCGCCCCCACGCACTGCGCCTGCCAGTCCAGACGGACTGCAGGGCCGTGAGCGATGGGCATACTCTACTCACGGACGCCTCACAGAGTCGATGGAAGTCAACACTCAGGTATGCTCTGATGCCGTCCATGGCTCCAGGAAGAGTGATTCCTCGCAGAAGCAAGGCGAAAAGGACCACGTATGGCATGGTGGCCGTGATCCACACGACCTGGGGAGAGGACAGTGTCACTGGGCTGCACAGGCCACCTGCTGGCAGGGAGTGGGCACAAGGTCACCCTGATGGTTTGTGCTAAGAGCGAGGTGGCCTCTGATTGGGAGGCCCAATATCCCAAACATTCACAGGACACAAGCTCAGCAAATGCTTACAAATTTGTGACCACGAATGCCTTCTATCCGGTGCATCTTTCCCAGGGATTAAAAGAGAACAAACAATTTGGCAAGGAAGGAGCATTCCTGTTCTGTATTTGGTCTGTTACAGTAGGAGTAGCAAGAGTGGCTGGATTTCTGATGAGTGAGATGTGAGTGATGGGGATTACGTGTGAAGGATGGACTCTGGGCCGCGGGGCCGGGGGGGGGGGGGGCGGCATGCGGGGAGGCACCACCTCTATCAAAAGGTTCCCTCCCATGTGTTGTGTTGGCACTTTAGTACATGTATTATCACAAATCATGAACACATTTTGGTCAAAATTGCTTGGTGTGTCCAGATAATAACCAAAATATTTTCATCAGCAAAAGCCAATTTATGTTGGGCTTGTCTTAATGCTGAAAACACTCTGTTGTGCTTTCCCCTTGACGTCATTCCTTAACCATAGTCCTGTGCGACTCTCCCACCCAACGATGGCCACCTGTCCACTCCCCAGCCCAACTACAGCCACCTTTATCTACCCCCCAGTCCAACCACGGTACCCCTGTCCACTTCCCAACCCACCTTGGTCCAACTGTCCACTCCCCAACCCGACTATGGTCACCTGTCTACTTCCCAACCGAACCACAGTCATCCCTGTCCACTCCACAACCCAACCATGGCTACCTGTTCACTCTTTAACCCAAACACAGCCACTGTCAACTCCCCAGCTCAACTGTGGCCACCTGTCCACTCCCCAACACCACTACAGACACCCCCGTCTATTCCATAACCCAACCATGGCCACCTGTCCACTCCCCAACCCAACTGTGGTCACCTGTCCACTCCCCAACACCACTACAGACACCCCCGTCTATTCCATAACCCAACCATGGCCACCTGTCCATTCACCAACACCACTACAGACACCCCCGTCTATTCCATAACCCAACCATGGCCACCTGTCTACTCCACAACCCGACTATGGCCGTTTGTCCATTCTCCAACCCAAACATGGCCCCTTTATCTACTCCCCAACCCAAACAGACTTCCTGTTCACTCTCCAATCCACCACCACCACCCCTCCACTCTATAACACAACCATGGCCCTCCATCCACTGCCCACCCATGGCCCTGTGCCCACTTCCCAGTGGGCGAGGCAGCAGCCTCACCTTCCCAGAAGTCTTCACTCCCTTCCACAAGCTGAAGTAGAGCAGGACGATGACCAGCACCAGGCAGCATGTGAGCTGCCAGCGGGGAGGGCCCAGGTCGTCGATGCCGCGGCTCTCGTGGAGGTGCAGCACACCACGCCTGGAGTGGGAGAGGGTGGGAATCCCAGAGAAACACTGCCTCCCCACCCAGAACTGCAACCAGACAGCTGAGCTTGCCCAGAGACCCTCCTGTACTCGACATGGCAGAAAGGACTCAGCCTGGCAGGTCCAGAGATCATCCCCACCCAGAAGGGCCAGGCCCAGCATCCTAGTTGGGATGCAGGGTCCATCCTTGCGGTGAGGGGAGAAGACAGGCATGGCATGATGGGAACCCACAGAAGCCCAGCCCTGGCCTCTCAGCACCCTGCATTTGGAGCTGCGGGAGGGAAGGAATGGGTGCCTTGGGTGTTTGAAGAAAGGAGCTACAGAAACCAGAGGGAAGGGTCAGCGCTGCGGTGGCTGCTGCGGTGGCTGCTGCTGCACACAGAAGGTCCTGGGCCCCTTACAGGGCTGAGTGGGCTTGAAGTAACAGGTGTCCGCACTGTTTCCCGAGCGTGACAGTTGATGAGAGCTTCCCAGCTGCTTCGCGGAGGATTCTGCAGGTGGCAGACTCAGGATGAGTCTGCTCCTGGTTTGCTTAAGAAGCGTCTGGTAGAAGGATCCACCATAAGGGCAGAATGTAAGGCCACGTGGAAAAGGGACAGAAGAATGGCCAGTGGAGCCCTCCCTGTGGGTCAGGCAGGGGTCTGGGGTACTTTCTATACAGTATCTCATTAGATCCTTGTGACGACCTGCAGAAAAGCTGCCACCGTGTCCACCTTGCACCTGCTGACTCACAGTCACAGGCGGGACTGTGAGTCAAAGGTGAGCCGAAGGCTTTGCTGCTGCACGGCGCGGTGGAGAAACCACATTGTGAAAAGGACCATCACTGCCCAGCTTTGCCAAGGTCCAAGGAGATCTTCCTGACACTCGTGGGAGAACGCCACAGTCCTCAGCCTTCCAGAGCTTTCCACCAGGTGCAGGCATCATGGGGCTACGTTGCAGTTCAGGTCCTCAAACAGTCTTGGGACAGGAGAGGCTGTGACAGGCCCAAAATGCCCAGCACAGCACTCCTGTTCTGCCTAAAACCCAGCAGGGCCCAGGTTGGCCTGGGGGCAGACGCACTGTCTGAACTGTCGTCACCATCTTTTCTTTACGGAGCACAGGGCACATGCTAAAGGGAGAGTTGCGCTGTCCGCGGCAGCGCAGGGTGAGATCTGGGACGCGGAGCTCCTGCGGCCGGCGGAGGAGGGGCCACTGCTGGGACAGCACGCAGCCTGCTGTGCCCTGCCTGCCCTCCTGCGTCCACCCTCCTGGGCCTGCCTCTCCTGGGGCAGTGTCTTCCTCTCCTCTTTCCCCCACCTCAGCCCTGCTCTGTGTCTGTGCCCATGCTCCGCCCCCACACCCTGTCCTGAGCCTTCAGACAGGCCTTATCACCTGGAACATCTTTTCACCAAAAAGAGGCCTCCTTGGGGCAATACCATCTGCCAAGTGAGGCCACACTGCCAAAAGGCGATCGAGTGAGGCCCAGACCAATCCCTCCACGCAATCCAGCCACACCACAGCGCCTTGCACACAGGCTTGGGTTACACATCTGACCTGGTGGCCGATGACCACCCACCCGTTTGCCTGGGAAAGGAGCACCGTGGCCCTCAGGTGTCTGCAGCCTCTGAGGCCTGAGAGGTGCGTCTGGGGAGAAAGTGTGTGGCTCTCCTTGGGGACTTACTCATAAAGCTGCTTTTAGGACACTGCACGTAGGGTTTTACCTTAAACATTTCAAGTTGCTTTGAGAATTAGCACTTCGTCTGTACTGGTCAAGTCTCTTCCCCAAGACTAAAAAGTTCTCATTTGAAGTCATGTGAAATCCCAGACACTTCAGAGGACAGGACACTGCAGATGCTGTCAGCTGGGGAGAGGAGCCAGCAGGCACCAGCACTGCATGGGACACCACACCGGTCACGACAGGATGCCACAGGGCACAGGGAAAGACAGGTGCTGCCCAAGAGCAGGGACATGGTAGGGTGTCTGGGTAAGATGGTTTGGGGCTGAAATGCAGACATTTTTGGAGCGGAAGTAGCCTGGAGGACCAAATGATGATGGCCTGGGATGTCACCAGTCTTGGCAAAGGTATAACACTTCCACTTCCTGCTGCATTCCTTCTTCAGGTGAGTTTGTTGTCATGGTTCTTGGATCTGGATAATGGAGCATTTGAGGTGTGCCAGGCATGCACTGGGCTTTACCTGCCCTGTCTTGTTGGATCCCTGCTGCAGCTGTCTTGCCCGACATACAGACAAGGAACCCAGGAGCCAAGAGGGTGAGAACACTGTCTAACCCAGGGTCCACCAGCAGCAGACCCAGGACCTGGACCCAGACAGCCTAACTCTGAAGCCGTGCTCTGTCTGGGGGGAGATGGCTGCCATGGAAAGGAGGTGAGGGGCCTCCACTCTGGCCATGAGGGGTTCACACCACACCACCTAGAAAGCTGGACACAGTACACCAAACAAGTACTTGCAGATGTGGAACTGGAGATGACCCAGAGCTGAGACCCCTGGCAGAAGGAACACGGTAAGGTGAGCACTGCAAGGCCCTACTTCCCACCTGCAGGCACCTTCCCATGGCAGAGGGCCTCCCTGAGTACAGCTTGGGGTCTTGCTGGGTGAAGGAAACAGTGATGGAGCTCAGGGAGTCTGAGGTGCTGAAAAGTCTCTCCCCAGGAGCCCGCTGACTCAGCCACAGGGTGAGACTCTGCAGGTCCCAGAGCTCATGCAGGGCTGAGGACCACTGAACGCCCACCAGCCAGGGGACCTGCCGATCACATGGAGAGTTCAGTAGACCCTGGAAGGGTCACTGCAGTAGAGGGGACAAACCACTCCTGAAGAAAAGCCTGCCCCAGAAGCATTTCAACAACAGGTTGCAAAAGGAGAAAACTGTTTCACAAGCAAATTAACTTCCTACCAGGGCAAATCCAACACTTGTTAAAGGAAGGTCACATAACTACTGGACAACAAGAAGCAAGAAAATGTGACCTACACAGGAAAATTGATTCATAGCTCCCTCGCACCAAATACAAAATCCACTCAAATGGTTAAAAGACTTAATGTAAGAGCTGAAATTATGAAACCCTTGGAAGAAAATATGCTTATGAAAATAGGCACAAATCATCAAGACCTTGGATTTGGCAATAGATTTTTTAAATAAAAATATTCAATTTATTGCCCTGGATGGTTTTGCTCAGCAGTTAGAGCATTGGCCCACGGATCAAAGAGTCTCAGGTTCGATTCCAGTCAAGGTCACGTACCTTGGTTGCAGTTTGGTCCCCAGCCCTGATCAGAGTCATGTGGGAGGCAACAAATGTCTCTCTCACAGAGATGTTTTTCTCTCTCTCCCTCCCACTCTATCTGAAGATAAATAAAAAAATACCCTTGGGTGAGGATTTAAAAAAAAAAAATATATATATATATATATACACACACATTCAATTTATTTAAACAAACATCAGACAAAGAAACCCAATTTGCACATTTTTTCTAACCCCACCCCCTACCTCTGGCAACCATTAATTATTTCTCCATGTCTATGAGCTTACCTTGCTTTTATTGTGCGTGTGTGTGGTTTTTCTTTTTTCTTTTTGGTTATCAATTTTTTTATATGACATCAAAAGCACAAACAATAAAAGAAAAAAACAGATAACTGACTTCATCAAAATTAAAAACTTTTGTTCATCAAAGGATACTATCAACAGAATAAAAAGACAACACATAGAATGGGAGAGAATATTTGCAAATCACATATCGAAAAGGAATTAATATCCAAAATATATAAAGAGCTCCCAAAAGTGAATAATATCCAAAACACTCTAAACAACTCTATTAAAAATGGGCAAAAGACTTGAATAGATATTTCTCCAAAGAACGTTAATAAATGATAAGTGAATTCATTAAATCATGCTCAACATCACTAATAAGTAGAGAAATACAAATCAAAACCACAATGAGATACCACTTCATAGTCATTAGAATGTCTATTATAAAAACAAAACAGAAAACAATTGTTGTTTGGGGGATAGACACATTGGAACCTGTGTACATTTTTGGTGGGAATGTAAAATGGTACAACTGCTGTGGAAAAGAGTATAGTGGTTTCTTTAAAAATTAAACAAAATTCTGATATAATCCAGTAATTCCACTTCTAGGCATATACCAAAAAAAATTGAAAGCAAGGATTGAAACAGATGTCTTTACATTGTTGTTCATAGTGGCATTATTTCCAGGAGCCAAAAGGTAGAAGCAATTCAAGTGTCCATTGACAAACAAAACATGGTCCATCCATAGAATGGAATATTATTCAGCCTTAAAAAGGATAGGAACTCTGACATACACTACAACATGAATGAACCTTGAGGACATCAGGGGTGGGGAATCTTCAGCCAGTGGGCCGTATAAAGCCCTCAAAATCAACACCAGCTGGCATCACATGCTTTACCAAATTAACCTGACCAAATATAGTAGGCTAATTTTTTTTTTTCTTTTTGTACAGATAGAGTGGGAGGGAGAGAGAGAGAGAAACATCGATGTGAAGGGACACATCGAGTGGCTGCCACCCGCACGACCAACCAGGGCCGGGGACAAACTGCAACCGAAGCACGTGCCCTTAGCGGGAACCGAACCCGGGTCTCTCTGGACCGCAGGCCGACGCTCTAACCGCTGAGCCAAACTGGCCAGGGCTAGTAGGCTAATTTTTAAGTTGATAATTTTGTATGACCCAAGAATGATGTTATAAATATCCAAATGACCCTTAGCAGAAAAGAGGCTCCCCACCTCTATAAATGAAATAAACCGGACACAAAGGACAAAGACTCTCTGATTTCTCTGCTATGAGGTCCCTGGAATTGCCAAATGCAGAGAAAGAAAGTAGATGGTGGGTGCCAGGGGCAAGGGAGGGAATGGGGAGTTAGTATGTAATGGGAACAGAGGTTCAGTTTGGGAAGATGAAAAAGTTCTGGAGATGGATGGTGTTGTTGGCTGCACAACAATGTGAAATTACTTAATGCCACTGGCATAAATGTAAAAGTGGTTAAAATGGCAAATTTTCTATTACGTATAGTTTACCACTATACACACACACAAAAACCCCCAAGAAAACAAAATTCTTTTCAGAAAAACAAAAGCTGAGAGAATTCATTGCCTGCAGGTGTACACGATAAGAGATGCTTAGTGGAAGATAGGTAAATAGAAAAGTGGGTTTATTTTTATGTTTTAGGTTTATTTAATATGTAATTGACTATTTAAATAAAAAAATAACAACATATATATGTTTACAACATCTTATAGAAACAAAATCTATGACAATTCCACAAAGGACATGAGGGGAGATGGAAGGCTAGTGTGGATGGCTCTTACATTATATACGCAGTGGGATAATGTCGTTTGAAGGTAGTGTATGATAAGCTAAAGGTGTATATTGCAAGCCCTGTAATATCCACTAAAAAGTAAAACAAAGAGCTATGGTTTATTAACCAATGGTGTAGATAAAATGAAAGCCTGAACTTAATTAATTCAAAAGAAGAAATAAACAGGAAAAAAGAAACAAAGGAGAGATGGGAGAGGAAGAAATAACTAGATTAAAGACTTAAAACCAACCATACTGATAATTACTGATTGGAAACTCTGATGAAAGGACAGAAATTCTCATACTGAATAAAAAAGAACCATCTCTATACTGTCTATAAGAAATCCACTTTAAATCTGACACATATAGGTTAAAAATACAAGAGTGGAAAAGAAAGCTGAGAAGATTCATTGCCTGCAGGTCTGCACTAAAGACATGCTCAGTGAAAGTCTTCAGGTGAAATGGAAAGCTGGCTCATACATAAGGGTAGAAGAGCACCTGAAATGGTAAAGGCATAGATAAATAGAAAACACTGCTCATAGGAAAGCTTGGGTAACCATATGTACTAATATTACACAAAGCCCCCTTCAAAATGAGAAATATTGCCAAGAGGGATATTTCATAATGAACAAGGGTTCAATTCAAAGAGTTGATATTCATACACATACATACACTTCATGACAGAGCATCAAAATACACAAATGAATCAAAATCTGATAAAACTATGAAGAGAAATAGGCATACCAACAGTTATGGTTGAGATTCAAGACCCCTTTCTCAGTAATGAAAGAAGAAGTAGACAGAGAAGCAGTAAGGAGACCTGCACACCAGGAGCTAACACAACCTGGCTGACACACAACTCTCGACCCAACAACAGCAGGACACACATTCTTTTTTAGGTGTCCATGGAAGCCTCACCAGGATTAATCATATACTAAGCCATAAAACAAGTCACAGTATATTTTGAAATAATGAAGTTTGACAAGTATGTTATCTCACAAAATCAGAATTAAATTAGAAGTCAATAACAAAAACATAACTAGAAAACCTCCAAAGATTTCAAAATTAAACAACAAACCTCAACAAACCTCCAAAAATATCTTGTGAGTCAAAATTACAAGGCAGATCAGGGAACACTTTGAACTGAATAAAACTGAAAATACAACATATGTAAGGAGGCAGCTAAAGCAGTCTCTTAGAGGCCAATTTGTAGCTTTAGGTTCCTAGCTTTCTAGTTTATATTAGAAAGCAGGTGAAGTTGATATTGATGAGTGTTTATGGGTCTGAGGAACATTTTAAATCAGTGGGAGTTGCACGGGCCTATTTTCGGGCTTCCAGAGCCCATATGTCCTTCCTTGGTTCAGATATAATATCTGTCAAGTGTGTTCACTGCATTGTTTCACAATTCTGGAGCCATAAACTTCTGGTTTCTGCTCTGAGCCTATAGCATTTTCTCATGCATACCCACTAGGGACTGCAGATGGAGGGTCAGCAAGTACAGGGACTAATGAGGAAAAAGGTTCTGGGAGAGAAATGGGGACTCCACAAAATGGGCAAATTGGGGGTGAATATTAAAGGATTTCTTTGTTTCTGATAAGAGGAATGAAAATAAGGAAAATTTCATGGGCTAGTGATTTTTCATTATCTAGTCTCTAGGATGAATTGTCACATGGGTGGAGTCATCCCCACTGTGCTTGCTTCCCTTCATTTATCTGTAGAGGAAGCTGCTGCAGAAAGGCTGCTGGAACCCCCGGGGAGCTGAGAACACATCAGTTGCTGCAAGACTTGTTCATTTGCCTGGGAGAGTTCTGCACACATAGTCTGTGGAGTGTGGAAAAGCCACCCTGAGCCTGCACAGCTTGGCCCAGGAAGGCATGAGAGCTTCTTGTTGACCAGCAATTGGTCATCTCCCCAAGCCTGACAGTGCTCTCCGAGGACCTGGAGTTAAAAAGCATGGTGAAGACCTTTCAGATCTCCCTTGCTCACATTCCAGTTGTCAAATGCATGATAGGTCATAACTTTATATGTTGTACAGGGGACTGGAGTCCCTTGATGGCTAGTGACAGAGCTATATTTGCCCACGTTTTAGGACTTGGAGCTTTACTATCTTAGGATTACAGTTATCTTGGCCTCCGTGGCATTTCATGGTGAGCTCCCTACTTACCTGTGCCTGTAGGAACGTGCAATCCTTTTCACAACGATCCACTTTATAAAGTGGGTTTAAATTCCAGAAAACCCCCTGGCCTGCAGGCCTGAGAGTCACAGGGTCCTGTCTCAGGAAAACCCAGTCACCACTCCCAGTAAAGTCACCTGTAAAGAGCTTGAGGAGGAGCACCAGGGTCTCAGAGCCATCGCTAATCCATGACTGCATTGTAAAACCTCTTCAGACGCCCCAGGGTTGTCCCGTCATCATCTCCCGCGACGGTGCAGCTTCCGCTCATGCTAGCATGCCCTTCGTGAAGCGGAGGCCTGAGCACTTCTGCCCCAACATCTCTCCCAGGCTGGAGATTTTCAAGTAGATTTCACTAGTCTGGTTTTTTAAAATTGCCTATCACATATATTCTTTCCCTCTAGCGTTCTTAGTCATAAATCACTAGAGCAACTAATTTTCTTATCTGAAAATCACTTAGATAAACGAAGTCTTTCCACACCTGTCAGACAAAAGATAAGCAGTCCCAAAACGGTGTCACTTGACACCTTTTGACATCTTTGCAAGCTTTCCAGATGTTCTAAGTTGCACTGAAATCCATCTTGGAATTGTAAGAGACATGCTAGCTTGACCACTGAGCCACCGTTTTGTTGGCAAATGATAAATTAAACCCGCCTCCAGCATGAGCTGTTTCTGAACGTCTTTCTGTGTGGTGGGATTTGACCTCGCATGGCTGCTTTCTGTGCAGAGGTCCCCTGCCCCTTCTCTCCATTACACACCAGCCCCCAAATGGGGCCACATGGCTGAGAGCACATGCACCCCCTGGCCTTGGCCTGTTAGTGAGACACTCTGATATTTGGGAAACGTAGTAATAAATAGGCCAGTGCAAGCACTGTTTTTTGTTTTTGTTTTTTGCCCCTAAGAACAGAAAAATCACTTTGTAGAATGCTCTACTTTTCTATATTTGGACGCTTCTATCATTTCTTGATTGTCACACTGAGTCCGATGCACATACTCAGGTAACCCTGCCTGTGTCTCCATTTCTCCAGGACACACCCGCCCCCATGACGTGTAGGCAAATCGAATGGGAAAGATTCCAGGCAGACTCTTCTCCCTACCACATCCTCTGAACCCAGCTCGCTCCTTTTGTGAGCCCCATGAGAAGAAAGCCCTCACCCCCCCCCCCCCAGGCTTGGAGTCTCCCTCCTCCTGGCGGGCGGGTTCTCAGTGGGCTCCTCTCTTTCCAGTCATGGGCGTTCCCTCTTTGTCCTCCTCAGACATTTTCACTGTCCAATCCCAAACCACCCAAAAGGTGTCTTTCTAAAATTGAAGCCCATCACACAACTCCAACACCCAAACCATGATCTTTCTAATGATGCTCTAAGAAAACACCCAATCCTTCTAGCAGTCCCTCCAGACCCTCCAAACCCTGCCTCGTGCCATGAGGAAGGGGAGAAGCCAGGAGCTGACGCAGGGCCAGAAAGCACCCAGAGAGCACCGTCAAGGAGCAGGGTGGGACTGCAGGTGGTGGGTGCCACTCGGTGTGCAATGCCGATGGCAGGTTTGGCAAGGGGAGGCAAGGAGCGGGATGCTTGGAAGGCTGCTGCAGGACCGAGGAGAGAGCCATGAAAAAGCCAGCACGTGTCTGAAAGAAGAAAGGAGCCCTCGCGAAGGGCAGCCAGCCAGTGCGCCTGCAGACAAGGTCTGCGTAGTGAGGATGCGGTGGAGCCTGCCAGCAAGGCGTCTTTTCTGAAGAGAGCTGGGCCTGGCCTGCATGCGGGGAAGGGCAGGTGAGTGAGAACTCGGAGCCCAGCCCACTTTGGAGGTGACACTGCAGCCCGCAGGGCCCAGGGCCCAGCATGCCTTATGACAGTTCTCATGACTAAGAACACCACACAGTGTGTGTGGTGCCTCCGACTGGCCTCCCACCCCGAACGGAGCAGGACAGAGAAGCCATGGGCCTGTTCAGCCTTCCATCTGTGCTGAGGACTCATGCTAGCTTTGTCCCACAAAAACTCAAGGGACCAGAACACGGCACAGGACAAGGAAAGGGTCCTCTCACACCGCTGTGAGGCAGCAAGGGCAGGTGGCTGACCCCTGGGCTGCCATAGAGTGCTTGGCTCTGCGTCCTTCCCTTCCTGAGACAGACGCAGCGAGTGAGGAGTCCCTGAACCCCCACGAGTGGGCCTCCCACTTACTCAAAGTACTCGGCGGCAGGCGTGGTCCTGAAGCTGTCGTTGAGGCCCGAGCTGTCACTGGCGTTGCCGGAGTAGGCGTCCGTGCAGTTGGGACTGTTCCAGGTGTTGTTGCAGTGGGTCCAGGGCAGCTCCATGGTGAAGGAGGAGAAGAAGTAATGCAGCGCCCAGGCAATGATGACGTTGTAGAAGAAGCCAACGTAGAGCGAGATCAGGATGACCGTGAAGCCCACGCCTAGGGTGGTGAGAGCCACTGTCAACAGAACACTTTCCCACCTTCCCTTACCGGAGACAGTGCCACCCTGTGCCGGCTCTTTGCCACCATCCTAATACCAGGCAACATCTTTAGATACACAGGGGAAGAGAAGTGAGAGGGCAGATGCTAGACTTTATGCTGTGGTCACAGAGAGGGGCTTCCCCCTTCCAAAGCCACCTATGGCCATGTCTGTCCACTCAGACATTCCGAGTATCTGAATGACATTCAAGGTCTGAAAAACCATCCCGGGTATTGAAAGCTAACCAGAACCACCCTGGTATGCCCAGGAGCATGTAGGATCATTTAGGGACACCCTGGTAGAACTAGGTCACCCGCTGACATACAGGATAACTAAAGGCCATCCATGGCTATCCATTGCCATTCACAGACACTCGGGATACAACAGGTCATCTAGGGCTACTCTGGCTCACCCTGAGCAATGCAACCCAGAACTTTCCTGCGCCACCAGGCCATACAAAATCATCAGAATCATCCACTGTCACCTATGGCCACCAATAGCCACCCAGGGTCCCTTAGGGGCAACCAGAGATATAAAACACCACTGAATATCAATAAAGACCACCCCAAACCATTCAGAGTCATCCAGAAACATTCAGGGCCACCCATGACAATAGCGTCATCAAAGGCCATCCAGGGTCACACAAGAATATGCAGTGATTTCCAGAGCCATCCAGGGATACCAAGAATCATCCAGAGTTACCAAGAGTCACTAAGGGACGATTAGGGTCCTCCATGGCCATCCACAGACACCTAGGCTCATCCAGGTCCACCAGGGGCATCTGAGACCATCCAGGCCCACCAGGGCTCATCCAGGCCTACCCAGAGTCAGACAGGGCTGTCCAAAGCCATCCATGGCCATCTATGCCCATCAGGGCCACCCAGGGCCATTCACAGCCACCCATAGCTACTCAAGACTACCCAGGGCACACAGGGTCATTTGGGTTCATGCATAGCTACCTAGGGGCTACCCAAGGTCACCCAAGATCATGCATTACCATCTAGGGTCTCTCAGGGTCATACATGACTATCCAGGGCCTTCTAAGGCCACCCAGGGACTTTCAGAATACCCTTTTTAGGATCACAAAATCTGGAATTTGCGATCAGTTATGAGGGGCTCTTAGCTCCTGGTGAACTAGAGCAGAAGAGAGTGGTGAGCAGGTTTTGGAGCTGTGGCACACTGACTGGTGGGCAGATGGGTCTGGAGGTTAGAAGGCCTCCTCCTGTTGGTCAGGAAGCCAGGTTGTCATGAAGCACATCCAGAAGCTTTTCCCTGGCAGTGGACAGACTGTGGATGTCTGACTTGAAATCTTTTTAAGGTTAGAACTTTGCATACCAAATCCTCAGCTTGAAACGTTGGGGACTCAAAGGAGCCTTTGGTCAAACACTAGCGCAGATCCAGACCCAGCATCTGAAGGAAGAGCTGACTTTCCTTTGGTCCTTCTGGAGCTGCCGTTGTGTGCACAGCCCTCCATCGGGGCAGGCCCGGACTTTCACAACAGAGTGACCAGGCCACCGCGGAGCACACGGGCTTGCCCCTCAGTGACACGGCACACCGGCACTGGAGCTCCGCCTCAGCCGAGCTCTGTTCGGGCTGCTGTCCAGGTACCCCAAATGCCCGAGAGATGGAAACGATGCCCTAGGAAGGTGGTTGCAAGTGTCAGCTGTCGGCTTGGTCATGACAAGTTCTGTCCTTCAGGACAGCAGAACCTTCGAGAACCACAGGCCTGGGACACTGTAGCCCCTCACCAACCCGACCTTCGCCATTCCTCCTCAGCGTCCCTGACGACCGGCCACATGAAATCCACTTTTTGTTTACTATAAGAATGTTCTTGTGATCGTTGTTCATTACATCATCATGTCATCTGAATGAAGCGACACCGGATATACTTCTTTTATTTCTTGCCACGAGAAACTGTCTCTGCTAAGAAGGTGGCAGGCTCAGTTCCTTTAATATTCCCAATGAAAACGAGTCCCTCTGTTGTCTGACCCCCAGGAAGCTCAGGCTAGGTGTGGATTTCAATCAAAGCTCTGAAGGTCACTTCTCTAAATTTCTATTTTTCTTAGCATTTTAATATTAACCTACTGTGCATTTTGTTTTAAGCAACTTCAAATTCTTTTTAGAAAAGATTTGATAAATCACACTAAATTATTATTGATCACAAAACATCCTAAATTGTTTTATAGTCCATGGGTGGGCAGTGTTTCCACGGCCTATGTAAAATGGAGGTGTCCTTGGCAATGAGCCAACCAACCTGAACAGGAGTCCTCTCAGGCCGTCACCCCCTCCACCCTCCCCCCCCCCCCGAGCCAGCTCACTCCAAAGAGTCCACAGGGCTGGCTTAGGTGGCAATGTCATAAACAAATACTAATTCCAGGAATACCAGCCTGAGAAAGGCTCCCTAGTGGAGTACTTTTCCAGCCCTTGAGACTCATTGGTGGTTTGTTTTTTTTTATGTAAACTAGAGAGAATTCCTCCTCTGTCGATTTGGGTTTCTCTACTATCTGCTGGTGTGTGTGCAAGTGTGTGGGGGGGCATGTGTGCTCACATGACAGGGAGGGGGGCAGAGAGGAAGTGGGAGAGAAGGATAGTTCTGAGACTCCTCCCCCCAGGACTCTGTGATGACACATTTGGGTGCTGATTTGGAAGGCCACCTGCAGCCTCTCCAGTCACGTGCCCGCCCGGCAGGACTCCGGACAGACCGTCTAGGGAACCGAGGACGAGGCGCAGTGCTGCGGCAGCTCACCCTCACTGCGGACTTTGCTGACTCCGTCCGGTGTAGCCCGTGCTGGTCAGGTGCAGCAGTGGTCCCAGGTAAGGGAGGAAGGGAGGAAGGGAGGTAAGGGAGGAAGAGAGCAAGGGAGGAAGGGAGGAAGAATAAAAGGGAAGAAGGGAGGTAAGGGAGGAAGGGAGGTAAGGGAGGAAGGGGAGGAAGGGAGGTAAGGGAGGAAGGGAGGTAAGGGAGGAAGGGAGGTAAGGGAGGAAGGGAGGAAGGGAGGAAGGAAGGTAAGGGAGGAAGGGAGGTATGGGAGGAAGGGAGGAAGGAAGGAAGGAAGGTAAGGGAGGAAGGGAGGTAAGGGAGGAAGGGAGGTATGGGAGGAAGGGAGGTATGGGAGGAAGGGGGAAGGGAGGTAATGGAGGAAGGGAGGTAATGGAGGAAGGGAGGTAATGGAGGAAGGGAGGGAAGGGAGGAAGGGAGGGAAGGGAGGAAGGGAGGGAAGGGAGGAAGGGAGGGAAGGGAGGAAGGGAGGGAAGGGAGGAAGGGAGGTAAGGGAGGAAGGAAGGAAGGGAGGAAGGGAGGTAAGGGAGGAAGGGAGGTAAGGGAGGAAGGGAGGTATGGGAGGAAGGGAGGTATGGGAGGAAGGGGGAAGGGAGGTAATGGAGGAAGGGAGGTAATGGAGGAAGGGAGGTAATGGAGGAAGGGAGGTAATGGAGGAAGGGAAAGAAGGGAGGAAGGGAGGGAAGGGAGGAAGGGAGGGAAGGGAGGAAGGGAGGGAAGGGAGGAAGGGGAGGGGAAGAAGGGAGAGAACGGGAGGGCAGGAGGACGGGAGAAAGGAAGGAAGGGAGGGAAGGAAGGAAGGGAGGTAAGGGAGGAAGGGAGGTAAGGGAGGAAGGGAGGTAAGGGAGGAAGGGAGGTAAGGGAGGAAGGGAGGTAAGGGAGGAAGGGAGGTAAGGGAGCAAGGGAGAAAGGGAGGAAGGGAGGTAAGGGAGGAAGGGAGGGGAGGGAGGAAGGGAGGGAAGGGAGGAAGGGAGGGGAGGGAGGAAGGGAGGTAAGGGAGGAAGGGAGGTGAGGGAGGAAGGGAGGTAAGGGAGCAAGGGAGAAAGGGAGGAAGGAAGGAAAGGAGGTAAGGGAGGAAGGGAGGTAAGGGAGGAAGGGAGGTAAGGAAGGAAGGGAGGTAAGGAAGGAGGAGGTCAGGAGGACGGAGTAAGGGAGGAAGGGAGGTAAGGGAGGAAGGGAGGTAAGGGAGGAAGGGAGGGAAGGGAGGAAGGGGGAAGGGAGGAAGGGGGGAATGGAGGAAAGGGAAGTAAGGGGGGAAGGGAGGAAGGGAGGAAGGAAGGAAGGGGGGAAGGAAGGGAGGTAATGAAGGAAGGGGGGAAGGGGGGTAAGGGGGCAGGGAGGAAGGGGGGAAGGAAGGAAGGGAAGTAAGGGAGGAAGGGAGAAAGGGAGGAAGGAAGGAAGGGGGAAGGAAGGGAGGTAATGGAGGAAGGGGGGAAGGGGGAAAGGGGGCAGGGAGGAAGGGGGGAAGGGAGGAAGGGGGGAATGGAGGAAAGGGAAGTAAGGGGGGAAGGGAGGAAGGGAGGGAGGCTGGGGAAGCGGGCTGTCCAAGAGCTTGGCTCCAAACGCAGTAGAAAGCTTCACAGGGGCTGGGATGTGCCGCTCGTCCCCTGAAGGACTGGATAACATTTTAGCTCCATAATGATGATTTGGGGCATTTTAACTGATGTCGTCATTTACCATGTGTTACCCCTATGTAATGACACATGAAAATACAGTCACTTTTATTAATTAATTTTTTAAAAGGACAAGGAAGAAAGGGACGGTACACATGTCAGGGTATCCAGAAAAGGTTTACCTCACCTAAGCTAAGGAACAATGGCCATCTCTTATCAAATGGGCAATGTATGGATATATGGGACCTGAGCATGTAGGCAGTCACCTGCTGGGGACTGCAGCTTGCTTGGCACGAAACAATTCAAGGTGTCTCTTCTCTAGGCATGGACGTCTGGTGTTCTCCTGCTGATTCTTTATCTCCTTCGTGAGCACGGGCCTGTGCTCACTGCAGAATCCCAGCTCAGTAGCTGACTTGCTGCGGTTTGCGAGTCCCTCAGTCCCAGGTCATGAGATGGGTGACCAGGCTCCGATGGAGATTCCACCCTCGGGCCACAACGCGCTTCTTCCTGTGGCTTCGCTTGGTCTCAGCTCAGCCCTCCACACGGATGAGTTTCCAAAACTGGTCAAAAGTGACGTGAGCTGCCCGCGCGTGACTCTGAGGCTGGGACTTGGAATCGGTTACTGAGGTGTCCAGTGTCTGCTGACCTCGCCTCCATATTCTGATTTTGCTGGGATGTGGTGAAATGCCCCGTCTGTGGTCTCAGCTTCTCTAGAATGGGGTGCTGACAGTCACGTTTCCGGTACTGACTCCAATTCATTAGGATTAAGTAGCATTTTGAAATCCTTGGAAAGTACTTATTGACATTTCATAAGCTGCAACACAGCAAATCACTTTGGCGGCCTCGTTGGAGAAAACTCGGTTTGTGGCAGGAAAAACTGGGAACCAGCCTTCGCCCGCTGGCCGCCAGCCCCATGGGGCCACGTCCTTCTCCTTCTGCAGCCCCTCACCCGTGGGGCGCTCAGGAAAGAGGCAGATTTACTCTGATTCAGTGTTAGACTCCCTGGTGGAAGGTGGGGCACAGGGTTGTGTCACGTACGAAACTCATGACAGACATGCTTTGGACCAGAAGCATGTGCTCCTTGGAAATCCAGAAATACAAACTGGTAGCACCACAGTCAGTGTCACGGCTGGAGGCGTCCTTCCTCATCATGTCCCCAGATGGCCACTTGAGGGTAGACATGCTTAATTTCTGACTCGGCGCCTGCACGCGCCACAAATACAGACCACAGCGAAGGCTCGTTGCGGCGCATGACTGCGTGGCATGTTGCGCTGCTCAGCAGAGCCGGAGAACACGATTAACTTATCTGTGTCTTGTCCGTTAGCTGGGGTTCACTGCCCCCAATGGCACCAACATTGTGCCAATACACAGGTGCTGAAGTGTCCAAGTTGACACCTGCCTCTGTCATAATAGGTGCCTGGTGTCTTCAGTTACCTGGATATTTCTCCACTGGGGAATTAATGACGGTGCCTGAGGCGAGTCTCAGGCAACTCACCTGAGCTTCGACTTCTGTGTACAAACTGCACAAGGGAACACCTAGCACCCAGCACCTGAACCCAGAGTTGTCTGAACCTTGCTCAGTAGTTCCTCTTTAGAGTGGGCCCATGAATCATTTAGCCTCAGAAAAAATTGCTAACGTCATAAGATTTACCCGGCAGACCATTAAGCAGGAATAACACACAGCGCCTGGGGGAGCTGTTAGGCTCTGCCGGTCTCAGCATTTCCGCTGCGTGAGGGCCATTCCCCACTGAGACTGACCTCGGCAGCTGTGCGATGTCCTCACTCCTGCGGCCAGATCAGTGCAGTCTGAGGAGCACACAGCCGCAGATCCACCCACACGGCACCCTTGGAGAGACAATGGGGCTCCTGCTCTCATTTCTCAAGAACTTTAAAGAAAATACAAAGCCTGATCTTTTAATAGCCATTTTCTTAATGTAACCAGCTGTCTGAATGAGGCACCTTCTCCGGTCTCTTTGAGGAAATACTGAATCCTCCTGAGCCCTCAGCTCCTGTTGGCCCAGTGGGGAGTCAGACAAGTTGAGGATTGAATCCCACCCGCCCCTGACAAGGTGACAGGGGCCAGTTACTCAAGCCCTCTAATCTCCAAGATGGAGATAACACCCTGCATGCCCTCCCCGGGGCTCTCTTGAGGACAGAGCCAGGTGACTGTGGGAAGGTTAGTCGCCAGGACTCACCATGAGGTGTGTTTGCTTCATGGTGCTGTGGCATCTCAGTAGTAGCCTGGAAGGCTCAGTGAATAACTAGACAGTTAGATCACAGATAAATGATGCTTAATAGGTAGCGATGACAGATAGATGATACATAGATAGATAGATAGATAGTTGAGCTGCTAAATTAATCAAGACAAGTAGGCTGAGGCATGAGGAAACAATTCTGTTCTTGTTTTAAGTGTCCTGAGAACTTAAACCTTTGAACTTCCCAGTCCTGCTTCAATACCCGGATATACAGCAAACCTCTTAACAACCCTGACTACTCCTGAAGGACTAGGGAGAGGTGTCCAGACCACCTGACATCCAGTATCCAGACCACTGGTCATCAGAGGATTACCATCTCAGACCAATCTAGAAGCTAAGAATTCAGGACTGATTCTTCTCAAGAGTATACTTTTACTATGAGAACATCAGCTTTTCTTCTGCGTAGTCAGAACACCCTGGCTATTACCTAGCTGTGCTTCTGATTTGTAAACCCTAAGACCCTTGAATAAATCTTTATCATTTATTTCTAGGCAAAGCCTCCTGATTTTATTGATGTTCAGTTGACATTTAATAGATGCTAGATAGATAAATAGATAAATATCATACATAGATGATAAATAGATAGGTAGGTATATAGATGATAGATGGGTAATATATAAATGACACACAGATAGAGGAACAGATAGGTAGATAATAGCTAGGTAGACAGACTGATGGATGGATACATAGATGATATGGATAGATAGATAGATAGATAGATAGATAGATAGATAGATAGATAGATAGATGTTTTTATCTTATTTATCATTTTAACTCTGACAAAATGATGCCGCTAATGAATTTAGTTGCAGGAAGGCTTCGCCTGGAAGCAAGGAAATACGTTCTTGAATTCTTAGTCATTACAAGTCTTTAGAGTAGGACCAAAATTCAAGTGGCGTGTTCACGTGCGCAGATGTCCAGCAAAGCGGTATGGGAAGCACATGACTTGGGTGGGCTTGCTTTGAAAGCTCTGGAGCCACATCCCTGGTCTGTGCCGTGCCAGGTGCGAGGAGGTGTTTCTACCATTACCTTTGAGTACGGGGCAGATCTTCCAGACGCCAGCAGCCCCCTCCCTGTTGAACTGCCCAAGGGCCAGCTCCATGTAGAAGAGCGGCATCCCCGCAATGACCATGAAGAGCAGGTAGGGGACCAGGAAGGCACCTGTGGGACATGACAGCATGTTTACTGAGGGTCTCAAGGGCTCAGCCATCTCCACCAACCACGTGCATCTTGGCCCTGACCCAGTCCCTGTCCCTGCTTCTCCTGAAGCTCCCTGCCTGGACACCCTCCAAAGGGAATCCACAGGCTGCGGCAGGTGCGTCTCCTCCCTCTAAGCCTAGCTCCACGGTCTGCAGTGCTCCAAACCCCGCTAAAGCCTTCAAAGTAAGCCCATCTCTACTGAACCCCACGGTCCCAGCCCCATGGAGCCAACCCCCAAGAGCACAGCAGATGAGGCCATGCCACACCGTGGCTCCTTCCCTGCCTTTGCACCCTCTGTGGGATGTCTACCCTTCTTGAGTTGATCTCTTCTGGGATCTGTGGGCCACCTTTGACCTTGTGTGGGTTGTGTCATCAATCCCATTAAATGCAGCTCCCAGCATTTAAAACCTGCCTCATTCAGGGGCTCCGGTCCTCCAGTGAGGCACCTTGTTCCTCTTGGCGCTACATCCTGCCCTGAGCACAAAGTTCAGGGCCCCTTGGCTCTGTTTCCCAAAGCTCTGCCTTGAATGAGTGGTAGCTTTGGCTGGGCTCTCTTCCTGGGCTGGGAGGGAGGCAGGGACACCCCACAGCTCTGTCTGTCCTTGGGCAAGTTAATGCACTACTGAGGCCTCAGTCTTCACCTCTCGACCTGGGCAGAGTAATGCCAACCTACCCGTGGGCATGCTGGAAGGCCTTCCCAGGACTATTTTTTCACGCCCTGCATCTGTGTGGTGTGGTGTGGCCATCAGGGAAATGGAAACACCAGGATGGAGGGCCCGAGTTCCAACTTAACTGGCTTCTCAACTTGAACTTTTGGGGTGATCCTGCCCTGTAGCCTAGTTTTCTGCCTTAAGTCTAGAGACGGTCATGGTTTGAGGACTGGTTGAGTTCAGGGAGTAGTGGGAGCAGCGGGTAGGGGAAGGCACATTTCCAGGGCACCTTCCACTGCTCCAGGCTGGAGGGCCTCACCTAGTAAATACTGTTTAAATCAGCCAGATATGCCCATCTGTGGGCCTTTTCTTTCCAAAGTGAAAACCGCCTTTGGAAACAGAAGGCAGAATCATGGTGCTTCCAGCCACCAAGTCCTGCTTCCTGCTCTCCTGGCCTCACTGTACAGTTCTCACATGGAGTGAGTGGGACGCTCTGAACTCTACCTCTGTGTTTCTGTGACATACGCCTGGGACTCTGTGCCAGCTAATGCCAAGTAACAAAACAGTGTCATGTTGCCAGAGTGAATGCATTTCCCAAAGCCCTACTTCCATTGTCCTGGACTCCAGCCAGCAGGACATAGGAGGGCAGGCGGGGACTCACCCCCTCCGTTTTTGTAGCACAGGTAAGGAAATCGCCAGACGTTGGCCAGGTCCACTGCGAAGCCAATCACTGAGAGGAGGAAGTCTATCTTCTTGCTCCATGTCTCCCGTTCCTGGGTCTCCACAGGGGTTTGTGGGGAGTTGACAAGGGTGGAGTTTGTGAGCTGCACACCATTCTGTTCCTTGACCAGGACAAGTTCCACTGCCTTTGGGCACATGGCATTGGGCTCCTTAGCTGAGGCGACCACGGAAGGCATCAGTCCCACTGGGTATTTGCTTCTATTCATGGGCAGACTGGATGGAATCTAGGATTCTGTGCTTCTTCCTTTTGGTCTTCAGCCAGCATGAAAAGTAAACACACACAGGAATGCAATGAGTTAGTAACCAGAACTATGAATGTAGCCGGTGGCGAGAACAGAGATCCAAGGCATTTATATTCATTTCTTTGTGGCAGAACAAATACATTCCAAGCAGCTCAGAAGACGCGGCCAGGGTTGAGGACCACAGGAGATGAGTTATTTCGTCTGAGAGCTGGGGGGAGAAGCTGTGGAAACCTCAGGACAGACATGCGCTTTGCCCCCTTCCCTGGCTCTCCTCTCTAGGCCGACGGAAGTACAGTGGGTGTGCAATCTCTAATTTTGCTTTTAACAATAATGTAAACGATTACTTCTGCCATACCCCACATTGCAGGGAGTAAATTACAATCTTTAAATAGCATTCAACAGGAAGTCTTTGCAAGAGTGTACACCTATTCTTTTCACTATAACCAAAATAAAAGTTAAAGCCACAGCAAATAAAAGTTAAAATGATGAGCCCTGGCTGGTGTGGCTCAGTGATTAGAGCTTTGGTCTGCACACCAAAGGCCCATGGGTTTGATTCCCAGTCAAGGGCATGTACCTGGGTTGCACCATCCATCCCCGGTACCAGTTGAGGTGCGTGCAGGCGGCAGCCAATCGATGTGTCTCTCTCATATGAATGTTTCTCTCTCTCCTCCTCCTCCTCCTCCTCCTCCTCCTCTTCCTCCTCCTTCTCCTCTCCTTCTCTCTCCCCACCCCCCTCCCTTCCTCCTTCCCTCCCTTCCATTCTGTCTAAAAATCAATAGAAATGATATCCTCAGATGAGAGTTTAAAAAAAGTTAAAATAATGATTATAACGGTTTCTTTAAGAAATGCCCGAATGATCCATGAACGCCTGTGGGCCAACAGCTCACCAGCCCCACCTAGAAGAGCTGGCAGAGATCAGAGCATCATGTCAGCATTTACCTGAGGGACCATGAGCCCCTCTACTTAGCATCGTTACTAGTGAGCTCATTTCCTAATCACTTCATAAACCCTGGGCAAGGTCATTAGGGGAACAGAAGAAATTCCACAGTGACAGCCATGAACAAGCTGGACCCTCGGGGACAAGAGCTGCTTCAATTTTGACTTCTGGCATTTGGACCCACCAGCACTGTTTCAGTGGTGGTACATGGGTGGGCACATATATGCTCACGCACACACACAGTGGTTGAAGCAGAAGCATAACAGTATGGCAGCTTCATGGGAGGTATTTCCCACTGTATCCAAGTTTGAATGAAAACTCACAACTTAAGTTATTTTACACATTGCTTCTCTGTGGCCCCTTCCCCTCTGGTGACAAACCCAACAACACATTCCTGAAATGTATGAAAAACGCGCCAAGGGGGCTGCATCCTCTGGGGAGCAGGTGGGATTGGCCTGCCTTGGGGTGCATTTGGAGGGGCTGGAGCTGTAGAGGTAGTAAATCCCCGCCATTTTGGTCTGACAAGGGCCCTTGCAGTCTTCAGGCCACCTGCCTGGGAAGCCCACATCCAGAATTTGGGGTGAGCTGACCCACTCCTGGAGCAGTGTCCGCAGAGGTAAGGAAAGCCAAACAGTCTCTTAGAGGAACACAGCTGGCTCATAAGCTGTGGTTGCCTCCTCTGTGCCTGTCTGTCCCTGAATCAGCCTGGAAGCACAGCTCCGCGCCCCTTCCCTCACTCTCACAATCAAAGACAAAAGCCTGCCCGAGAGAGCACTGCTGAGAAAACCACCGGGATTGGGTCCAGGGGCCAATCCGCCCGGGCTTCACTCTGCACCGAGTCTGGTTCAACACGCGGGAGTGTCACAGACAGTGCGCTCCCCGCCGGCGCCGCAGGGAAGCTGCCCCTTCCCGCTGTTCCTGGAACCAGGCGCGGCCCTGAGACAAGGCGCTCCACCTGCAAGGCCAGGGCCAGGGGCCCCGGGGGCGCGCACCCCACCTCGTGTATACGTCTCTCAGCCGCCGATTGCCTTATGGTCTCCAATGGCACTGTCTGTCGGGGCGCGCTGTGCAAACCCTGGCTGTGAGCGACTTTTGGAGACGCTGTCGTCTGAGGAACGCGGCGCCTCCTGACGGTGCCCATCCCAACCTTGTGCCCCTTGGCTGCAGCCTTCGGGGTCCACGGAGCTAAAGGCAAGCTCCGAGGATGCGCGGCGGGGGGTGGGGGTAGAGGGGGTGCTGTGCGGGAAGTCACCCTCGGAGTGCCCGGGCCTTACCTGCCCTCCCCGGCCTTGGCTCTGCTCTGGGGTCCTGCCTCCTAGCGTGCGCCAAGGCTTGGACTCCCGTCCAGCTGCGCTGGGCGGTCTCGGCCTCCGGGTTCTTATCTTGTCGTCTGGCCCGCCCCGCCCCGCCCCTCCCGCTGTCGGGGGCGCAAGCCTGCCAGGCTCCGCTTCCGCGCCGCCCCGGGTGGGCGGGGGACGAGCCGGGCGCACCCTTCACCCGCCCCTGCAACCCAGACAGCAGATAGGAGCCGTTGATCAACAGTCCGCGGCGGGCAGAACACTTTGACCCAGGTCTTGCGCGTCCCGGAGCCTCTGATGCTTGCAAGCGGGGACACTTGTGGATCCGAGGTGTGGGAGAACCGGGATGGGCAGTTTCCCAGCGGGGCCAGTCCAGGTCTCCCTCCCGCCCTCGCCTGCAGCCCCCAGGCCTGTCCGCGCACAGGCACCTGCTTGGGGTGGGGGTGGGGGCTCCCGCCTCCTACCCAGAACTCCGTCTCAGCATGCGGCGGGAGGAGAGGCACACTTCGGCGGGAGGGAGCGAGGAACCCGACAGGCTGAGCCAGGCCAAGACTGTGCCCTTCCTCCCCCTGGCCCTCCGCTGCGCGACTCCCACCCTGATACTACTCCGACCCTTCTCCTCAACCGCCCAGCTTCACGGACTCCCACCACCCCGTGGCAGTCCCTCCCCAGGTCCAGTGCCCAAGGGACCTCTCCCACCGCGCCCCGCGCTTATGGTGTCCGGTCTGCGTCCCCAGCCGGGCTGCGGCGACCTCTCCCTCGACCTGACCGGTGGCTGAGGGCCTGGGTCTGCTGACCCCAGGGTACTGGATAGTTGCCGGGATCCGACTGCGGAGACGCGGGTCCTTCCATGGCCAGCACTGTCCCAGCGGCGTCGGGCCAGCATAGCAGTGGGACGTTTTGGTGATTTGTCCACATACAGCGCATTGACACATCAAGGGGCTCAAATCATGCTCAGATAGCAAAATGATTTCCCGAGACGGCCTGGCAGTCACTACCGGTTCTGGGACCGAACAGAGTAGGAATCTTCTTAGCGGGATGCCTTCAGCAAGATTTCATATCATAACGCAGAGGAATGGAGACCCCAGGCCACCAAGCAAGGTCCAGGTCCTTCAGGTGCAGAATGACTGCAAGGTGAGTTGTGGCTTCCGGCATCACACTTGGCTGGGTGACCCAAATCCCAGGCCTCAACAGTCCTAGCGTGTGTCACTGTAGGGAGACACACACACAAGTCCGGGGCTCTCCACTCTGGACTGCAAGTTGCTGCTCAGAAGTGTCATGGAAGGAATGTCCCTTTGTCACACCTTGTCACATCCTCAGTACCATTTCCCACTCACTCCTGCTTCCACCTGGAGACCATCATCACTTCCTAACCCACAGCCTCTAATGGGCAGCTGACAAAACTGGAGTTGGTACCCAGCCACGGCACCAAGACACTGCTCTGCCAGGCTGATTATAATGAAGCACTAAGAACCCATTACTCGGTGTATCAGTCTGCTCCAGCTGCTGTAACAAAAATGCCACAGAGAGGGTGACTTATAAACAATGGACATTTCTTTGTCACAGTTCTGGGGGCTGGAAGTCCAAAATCAAGGCCGGGGCTACTCATTCTCTGGTGAGGACCCACTTCCTGGCTCACAGACATCTTCTCCCTGGTGTGACCTCACATGGGGCCCTCTGGGGCCTTGTTGATCAGGGCACTAGCTCCATCATGAGGGCTCTACCTTCAGGATCCAATCACCTCCCAAAGGCCCACCTCTGAGAACCATTTAATTGGGTGTTAAGATTCAAAATATGAATTTGGGGAGACACAGTGCAGTCCACAGCACGTGGGGAGGTGACAGAGATTTTGGGAGATGGCGATGTGCCACCTTGACTGTACACACAGTGACCATCACAGAGGCTGTCCTCCCCACACATGCTCAACAGCACAGGTTTCCAGAAACAGCAGTAATCGGTGATGGGGCCTTAATCAACAGGAAGTAAATGGCCATCAAGGATATGATTAAATAGGGGAACACAGGGCAGAACCCATGAGTTCAGTTATGTATTAAACACAGGCACACACTGAACAAAAAACATCAGGCAGGAATGCAAGCCCAGCAGGGGTGCAACTGTGTGTCTCCAAGTGTCCTTAGTCCTATTGGACCAGGGCCACCCTGATGCCCTCATTTTAACTCGATCACCTCTGTAAAGATCTCCAAATAAGGCCACATTCTGAGGTCCTGCACTTAGGATTTCAACATATGAACTTGGGGGGCACAATTCAACCCATTCCAAAGAGGAACCCTAATAGGCCTGTTCTGGAGGGAGCAGCTCAGAACAGGCCTATTACCCAACAGGCCTAGTGCCCAAAACCATGCTCTGCTGTTCAGCAGCCCCTCATCAGAGGGAGGAAGTGAGGTGGTGCAGAGCACAGCCCTGAGCAGGAGGACCCCTGAGAAGAAAAGCCACCAGCAGACCAGGCATACCCACTGGTACTCTGGGAGCAAAAGGGCAACTGTGTCTTGAAGCCACGGGTTCATGGGGTCCTGTGCAACACCGACTGCCAGGTCCCATGCATCTTATGACCCTCTGGATGGATGGCTGGGCTCTACAACATCACACTCCCCACAGCTTGGTGGCTGGAGGCTGGGAATTGCTTTTTCCAAATGCCCTGGCTGGCAGGACTGGGGTCAGGATCTGCCACTAGAAGGCCCACCTGCTGAGTCCAAGGGGCAGGAGGTCCAGGCGGTAGGGGCGGTTCCCTGCAGCTTCTTGACGTTGGGTACAGCCATTCCCTCCCACCTTTGCCCCTTCAAACCACCTAGCAACTTTTAACCTAATTTTCTGCATGAAATCCATCTCTGTTTATAATTTGTACAGTGGCTGATGTTCCTTAGTCAGCCCGGGCTTCTATAACAGAATGCCCCCGGCTGGGCAGCTCAAACAGCATTTATTTCTCTCAGTCTGGAGGCTGGAAGTCCAAGATCAGAGTGCTGGCATGGTCAGCTTCTGGTGCGGACCTTCAGTCTGTGTCCTTACTGAGGGGAGGAGAGGAAAATGGGGTTTGGGAGGTGGATGGGGTGGTGATGAGAAGGAGCCAGCACACCCTCTGGTCTCTCCTTATGAGGGGACCAATCCCATCACCGGGCCCCCCTTTCATGACCTCATCTGAAGGAGTCACCTCCCCAAGCTCCACCTCCTAATACATCCTTCCTTGAAGTTGGGGCTTCAATGTGGGAATTTGGGAGGAGCACAAACAGTGCATAGCAGTCTCAGACCATAATGTTTTTATTATTCAAAATGAGCTATAATGTTCTAGGATTTCATTCCCTTACTTGGAAATATTTTATTTCCATTTAAGTTAATAATTGCCTATTTTCCACTGGTTAATTTTTCATGTTCCAATCATTAATGTACCTATTAATTCAACAGAAATATATATATCCTCTAGAAGTACTGCAACCCAGACAGCATTCTGTTCACTTTTATTGCTGTTTTTGTTATTTGAGCCTCTGCCTCCTAGCTCCGATTGAATAGTTCACCCTCCAGTCTTGCTGCCCAGATGGCGTCCTTGTCTGTCCCATCCACGCACCTCTGGGACTGGCTCAGACACTCTCCTTCCTTGTACTGGTTTCTGGGATCCGTGCGGCTGCTTTGGATTTTGTCATTTTGGCAGCACCCATCCACTTCTCAGATCTCTGCACCATGAGGCAGGGGCCAGAGATCCCGTCTCTCTGAGCCCCTTTCCTGGTGGTTCTCTATTCGGGTTTCCTAGGACAGTCACATGGGATTGGGAGGGTGAAGGAGGAGGGGAAGCCATTACTCTTCTGAGGTTCCAGGTCAGGTGCGCTGGTGACTGAAGTTCCTCGTGGCCCCTTGCCGAGCTCTTCAGTACCCCAGCTTTGCCTGAGGCACGTGCTGGGCAGCCCTCAGCTCCAGTTTCAGCTGCCGGTTTCCTGACTGGAGTAAATCCACACAAATCCTGGTCTGTGCTGTTGCTGAGGCAGTCGACCACCGCCCCTCCCCCGCCCTGCCACACGCACACACTTGTTTGGAAAGACCAGAAGAGACATTTTTCCTTCCTGTGACAGGAACAGCAGCACACCTTCACAGTCTTATCTCAGTGCTGTGTCAACTACCCTGCTGCCACTTCTCATCACAGAGACCTTATCATCCTGCCACTACGCAGCAGCTCACGCCGGTCCCACTACTGCGACAGCCCACTGAACCAAGCTGGTGAGCAAGAAATAAAAAATACCAAGATCATTGGTAAGGCACATGCTGCTAAAGATTGAAAAAGGAGAGATAAAAATTCCAAGGCTTGCCATCGTGGTGAGGTTTCGATGGGTCCACTGGTCTGTGACTGGTGGAGATACACGACCACCTGGAAGGCAAGTTGCTGCATCTGATGACCCCACTCCAAAGAAAGAGTGTTTCTCACATGCATTTGAAGAGTGTGTTCTGCTCTTGGGTGAACAATTGTATAAATGTCAAATAGGTCAGCTTAGTTCACACTGTTTTCAGTCTCATGTGTCCTTATAAAGTTTTTTTTTAATCCTCAAGGAGGACATTTTGCATAGAGTGAGAGGGAGAGAGAGAAACATCAGTGTGAGAGAGACAGATTGACTGGTTGCCACCCACACGACCCCAACTGGGGCCGGGGACAAACTGCAACCGAGGTATGCGCCCTTAGTGGGAACTGAACCTGGGTCTCTCTGGACCGCGGACCGACGCTCTAACTCTTGAGCCAAACCGGCCAGGGCTTCTTACAAAGTTTTCATACTTGTTTTCAGTTCTTGGGAGAGGTGTTGGTATTTCCCAGTATAAGTGTGTGAACTGGTTCTCCCTGTGGTTCTGTTCTCTCTGCTTCATCCTGCTGAAGCTCTGTTTTCAGGGTCACATGCATTTAGGATTGTGTGTCCTCCTGGGGACCTGAATCTTTATCATGAAGTGACCTTGTTTACACCTGCTCATAGCCTCTGCTCTGAAGTCAACTTTGCTATTAAAACAGCCACTACATGTTTCTTTTGATTAGAGTTAGCACCCATCCTT